AGTCCCCCAACGGCAGCAAGGTGGGCGACTACCTGTTGGCGCAGCTGCTGGACCTGACCAAGTCCAAGTTCGGATTCGTGGCCAGCGCGCTCAAGAAACCCGAAGGCACCTACTACCTCAAGGTGAGGGGATGGGGGGAGGAGGAGGGGGACGGGGAGTGAGGGGTAGAAGGAGTGGGCGACGGGGAAGCGGCAGATTTTACCCCATGATCGGGAGTGGGAGGGCAAGTCCAAGTTCTGGTTGTGGGAGTGAGGGGGAAAGCAGGCGTGTGCTACTCTATAGTGAGCGGGTTTCCATGCGAGAGCAAGGGGGGAGCTTTGCTGCGGCTGGGAGGAAAAAGCACATGACGGAATGCATTATAGAGTACTAATCACCTAATGGAACCCTGAGGGTGCGGCCTGCAGCACTGTAGGCTCGTTGAAGATGCCCACGTGCTGGGATTAGAGTTTGACTCTTCAGACGGACGGGAACCTGCTCAGATCATCGACTGGACATGTTTTGGGGGTGCGAGACAAAGCAGTGGGCACACGAGATTGGTCTGGGGCTAGTGAGTGTGTGTTTGAGTGCGAGTGTGAGTGTGAGTTGACAGGAGCAGCACGATGGCACCACCTGGTTCCTAAGGCGCCTAAAAGATCGTTGCATTAGGGTTAGTGAGTGTGGCAAATCTTGAAGAGCGGTCTTGCAGAGTAGACAATGGGGGAGGGCGTGGATGAGCGCAGCAGCTACCAATGGGCTCCATATGGGGAATGGGGAGTGAGGAATGGGTGGGGTGGTGATTAGGATTAAGTGAGCTACCCCAGACGGGAGATTTGCAGCTGTGATGAGACGACTGCTGATGCACCGACCCACCTCACCCACCCCTCCATCCTTTCCCCTCCCCCTCCCCGTCTCCACCCTTCCACCTCTTCCCTCCCCACCCCTCAGACGCACGGCATAACCAACTTTGCATGGACGCGCGAGCTGCGCCTATGGTACGCGGAGAACGCCCCGTCCGGCCTGGTGTTCTCGAACATGGACACGCTGTTTGGGCGCGTGGTCACCACGGCGGACGTGGTCATCTCCAACGACGTCCCCAACGACCCCCGAGCGGTGGGCGTGCCGCCCGGCCACCAGCGCGTCTCCACCTTCCTCGGCGTGCCGCTCTTTGCGGGGGCTGAGCTCGTGGGCATGTTTGCGGTGGCGAACCGCAAGGAGGGGTACGAGGAGACGCTGCTCATGGAGATCCAACCGATGACGAAGACGGTCGCGCAGATTGTGGGCGCGCTGCAGGAGAGGCGGCGCGAGCGCGAGGAGCAGGAGCGGCTGCGGGCGATGCTGAAGGGCACGGGGGATGCGATCCTGGGCGTGGATGACATGGGGGGGATTAGTTCTCTGAACCGCGCGGCGCGGCTGCTGTTTGGGTTCACGGACACGGAGGGGCTGGGCGACAGCAGTGGGCGGGCGTTTGGGGGGGAGGTGCTGCCGGAGAACCTGCACGTGGCTGATTTGTTTATTAGTGTCGACGGCCGAGATGACTTTGCCGACCAGGGTGAGTTACCATGCCGCCCCAAACACTGCTGGTTTTGGTCTTTGTTTTTATCTTTTCCCTGACCACGTGCTTGTTCCTGCTCTCCTCCCCAATCTCAACCGACACCCTCTGATTTGCTTCACCCCCGTACGCCACTGCAGGTCTGGAGGTGTTTGTGTGTGATGGCCTCAGGATGCCCGCCATTGGTCGGCGCATTCTGGGAGGCACACTGCTGCTGGAGATGATGCTGTCGCGCGGCAGCAACCCCGACGTGGCGTACGTCATCACGGCGCGCGAGCTCAAGAACAGCGGGCTGGGCGCCACGCCTACCATTGCCTCGGGCAGCAACAGCCTCGCGAGAACGGGCAGCAAGGGAGGGCCCACGTTCTTTGAACCTGCGAATGTGCCGGGAGGAGATGAGTGATTGCGCGGGTGAATGTGCGTTGCTGTCGCACGCTCCAAGATATACCCCGCGAAAAAGACAGGTTTTTTATCACGAGAAGGGGCTCTCCTATAGCTGCTCTCAGTGGTTTGTGTAACTTATGAATGACTTCTACAGAAGCCTATGTTCCATATGTATGCATAGAATCCGCGTGATTGCCCATTTTGAAGCTGACTAGAGGTACTGAAATGTGGCATTATTGCTGACTGGCATTAGGGTTCATTTGAGCTTCAGTAACATATGGCATGTTTTAGTCTCAAAGGTATCTCTGGAAGGTGTACCGCTGTAACAGTTCTCGCCTTTTTTCAATTTCAAATTTCAAATGTTCAATGTTCCGAAAAGCCTTCAGCTCGAACGCGAAGTAAGTGTTCAACTCTCGGGTATTACAAAAGCGTCGCACTATTCGCTGAAACGTCTCCTATCTGATTCCCTTGGCAACCGGCGTGGCAGTCGTTCAAAGTTGGCTTTTATATCGCAAACGCTTTTAGAGTTCAACACCTAAATGCACCGTCAGCATTCGGCCCTCAATTTCTGATTTGTCCCTTTCTGGGCCAAACCCAGCCCCACAAACATTTCCGCCGGGTTTTTAGTTATTTCGGAAGGGGTACTTCCGACCCTGCGCTTTCTAGGGAGCTTCATCTCTACCTGCACAGAGTTTCCCAGGTTTCGACGCCCAGGCAGAAGACTTATTGGGCTGGGACAGAACTCGGCTCCACGTTTATCCACGTGTCAGTCACTGCGCATCCCAACCACTGCTGCTGCACACAGAGAAACAGTGCGCAACCGCTTTTGTTATTTTCTGCCGAGCCAAAACCACGTTCTGGGTGGCTCGGCACCTCACTGTTTCGATATCTGGGGGAGATCATTTTCGTGCCCAAACTCCGTCCAGTAACACACGCCAGAGCGTCACTGCAAACGGAAACGACCTCCGTCTAGTACAGTGACGTCAGTTGCCGTCAAACGACGCTAATACCTCGCCATAACAAAAACGCGATTTTGTTTTAGGGTGAGTTGATTGAAAAAAAACTTAGCCAGTATTTTCAGAAGATTGCATCTGGCCTTATTGAATGAATTTGTTAAACAATGTTACCATTCAAGTATATCTAGAAGATTACATCAAGCCTTATTGAATTAATCTGTTAAACAATGTTACCATTCAAGCTCTTTGAGATTGCATGTGGCCTTATTAAATTAATTTGTTCAACAATGTTTCCATTTAGGGCCTTCTTGGTTCCTTTTGATCTAATATTGAAACAAACAACTTGCTTTTGAGGGGACGAATCATCGTGCAAGCTGCAAAACCCTAACCCATTAAACAAAATGGCATAATCTTGCGTGGATTTAGAGTCTTGTAGTATTGTCAACATATGTAGACACAGGGTGCTAGAGTTTAGAAGCCTTTAAATATCTCTGGGCGTTTCAGAACACATAATATCATTTTCACACATATGTTATTATGTGTACTCAGTTTCACTTCTAACCGTGATGTTATATTATTATTATATTTGTGAAGTTAAAATCTCACAAATAAGTTATTATGTGGACTTAAACGCCCATGAATGTTTAAAGGCTTAACACGTAAATACGCAACACTATGTTTAAAAATGTAGACAATACTATAGAACTGTAAATGCATGCAAGATCATGCCATTTTCTTCTATAAACCCGGCTTTTGCAACTTGCACGATGTTTCGTCCCTTTAAATGAAATTTGCGTGTTTCAATTTTAGAGGAAAAGGAAACTCAATAATGCCCTGAATGTTAACACCGTTTTACAAATTAATTTAGAAAGGCCATATGCAATCCTAAAAAATAATGGCTAAGTTTCTATTATATTCAAATCAGCCTAAAACTAGATCGCGTTTCTGTTATGGGGAGCTATTAACGTCGTTTGACAGAGGTTGAAGTCACTGGACTAGACGGAGTTTATTTCCGTTTGCAGTGTCGCCCTGGCGTGTGTTACTGGACGGAGTTTGGGCGCGAAAATGATCCCCCCCCAGATATCGAAACAGTGAGGTGCCGAGCCACCCAGAACGTGGTTTTGGCTCGGCAGAAAATAACAAAAGCGGTTGCGCACTGTTTCTCTGTGTGCAGCAGCAGTGGTTGGGATGCGCAGTGACTGACACGTGGATAAACGTGGAGCCGAGTTCTGTCCCAGCCCAATAAGTCTTCTGCCTGGGCGTCGAAACCTGGGAAACTCTGTGCAGGTAGAGATGAAGCTCCCTAGAAAGCGCAGGGTCGGAAGTACCCCTTCCGAAACAACAGCGTCGCACTATTCGCTGAAACGTCTCCTATCTGATTCCCTTGGCAACCGGCGTGGCAGTCGTTCAAAGTTGGCTTTTATATCGCAAACGCTTTTAGAGTTCAACACCTAAATGCACCGTCAGCATTCGGCCCTCAATTTCTGATTTGTCCCTTTCTGGGCCAAACCCAGCCCCTCTAACATTTCCGCCCCCTAACCCTTCTCAAGCCCGCATAGTTGCTGGTGGCGTGGTTCCTGGCTTCTATTCTCACCATCGCCTGGGGGGAAGCCAGCATTTTAGTCTAGGGTTTCGCGTCCCACTGGCGCTCTTACAGGCACAGGCCACAACGTGGTAACTAGCGTGACTGAATGGCAACGTTGTGCGTTTTATAAAAATTTCAAGCAGTTGCAATCGGCACACTAACTCGGGCTTCGTCACGCTCACCCTTCAGCGGGCTAGAGATGCCTGAAGTGCGTCAGGAATTACAACGCTTAGAGCTGATCGGCTTCACTGCCTAACTTGTTTCAGCGCACGTCCTAGTTCTCCAGTTGGGGTCCGCGTCTCTCTTCAATCTCAGCCTCGATACTCGCTAGTCTCTGTCCTTTATCGTCACCTGTTAAAAACGTAAAAATATTTTTCTTGCAACGTTCTTTTTTTCGCAGACTATCCTCAGTCGTCGACGCTTTTAAACCAGTGGAAAAAAAAAAAACAAAAACAAAAACCTTCCAATGGATGACCCAAGCCAGCATTTCCCGCCTGGTTCGCTGCCCGAAGGCGAGCCGGCGCCAGCGCAGGCTGCGGCGGAGGGCATGGAAGATGCGGAGAACCTTCTTGACGACATGCTCGAGGCGGCCGAGGCAGCGCGCCACGAGACCGAGCTGACTCTGGCGCCGCAGGCGCCCGACGCGAATGAACCGTTTGCGGCTGTGGCGGGCGTGACTGCAGGCGATGTGGCGGAAGGAGTGGTGGAAGAAACGGTATATCAAGGTGTGACAGAAGGAGAGGTGACTGAAGCGGGGGCGGGTGAAGGCGAGGGGTTCGATCTGAATATGGATGCTGGTGGGGCCGGTGCGGCGACGGTCATCATAACCGAGGGCGCAGCAGCTGAAGCCGAACCAGCGACCGGACCAGAAGCCGAACCAGTTGCCGAACCAGGAACCGAGCCTGGTTCGGGCTTGGATGTTCCCGAGCCTCAGAGTCTGCAGGTCGGGACTGAGGAGCAGGCTCGGGAGTTTATTGGCGAATACCAGGAGGTGGGCGGAGAGGGCGGGGGTGGTCATATAATGCAGCAGGAGACGGCGGTTGCTTATGGGGAGGGTGGCATGGCGGAGGGGGAACAGCCGAGAGCTGACGTGGAAATGGCGGAAGCAGCGGAAGGAACTCAACAGGGTGCTTATATCGAGCAACCAGTGCAATACGAGGGTGCGCAGCAGCAGAAGCACGTGGGCGCAGAGCAGGCAGGGGCAGCAGAGCAAGCGGGTGAGCCTGCTGTAGCAGGCGAGCAACCGGCTGTAGCTGAGCAAGAGGCAGGAGAGGCGTGGCAGGGAGAGGCTGTAGCACAGGCCGAACCGGCTGTAGCAGGCTACGAACATGGTGGAGGGACAGCTGTAGCTGGGTATGAGGCTGCTTTCCCTGGGCAGGAGGCGGCTGTAGCTGCTGCTGGCGGAGGTGAGACGGCAGGGGGGCAGGTTGTAGCACCGGCTGAAGTGGGCGAAATGGTTACCACTGCTGCTGGCGAAGGAGAGGTGGCGACAGGGGCGAACGAAGGTGGTATTGTTGGAGAGAGCGTGGCGCAAGGAGAGGGGGAAATGGCGCCAGCAGCAGAAGCGCAAGGAGCGGTGACAGAGGGCGAGGGAGCGGCCTTGTATGCCCAAGGCATGGCGGCGGTTGCTGAAGGGCAGCATGGGGAGGCGGCAGCAGTGCCTGGCGCGCACGGGGAAGGCGGAGAGGGCGGGGGCGGGGGAGGGGGCGAGTATGCACATGAGCACATGCAAGCGGGCTTGGAAGGCGGTGAAGGTGGCGCGTTAGTGCCTACTGCAGAGCAGCCGGAAGCAGGAGCAGCACCAGGCGGGGAAGGGGGAGAAGCAGCAGCAGGCGGGGAGGGGGCAGCAGTAGCAGCGGCAGAGGCAGAAGCAGCAGCAGCGGCGGCGGAGGTGGCGGCGCACATAGAGGCGGCGGAGAGGGTGGTGGTGCAGTCGCAGCTGCCCCAGCCCCCGCCGTCCCCCGCGGTGGGCAATGTGGCGGTGCTGCCCATGCTGCTGGACCAGATCGAGGCGCACATCCTCTTCTACGGCCGCATCTTGTGAGTGACGTGCCTGGGTGCAGGGACTGAATGCCGTGCCCCCGTCCGCTGCCCCCTATTTCCCACCACCATTCCCTGTCCCCATCACCTCGGCTCGCCCCTCCCCTTGCCCATCAACCCCCAATCTCATTCCCCACTCCTATCGGCTGCCAACATCTCTCCCGGCAGTCGCAAGGAGCCACTAGAGGAGGAGCTGCGCTCGCTAGTGTTCGCCACGGTGCCCTCGCAGCCTGGGCTCACCCACTCCTTTCCCTCATCACCCAACCCCATTCCCCACGCCCATCCCCCACTGCTGCATGTCCCTACTCCCTTCTCTCCCAACAGTCGCAAGGAGCCATTAGAGGAGGAGCTGCGAGCGCTGGTGTTTGCCACCGTGCCCTCTGAGCTTCGCTTGCCTGCCCACCACCGCTGGCTGCACATAGCTGACACGTCTCACCCCCACTTCAATCCCCCACCCTGTCTCTCCTGCCAGTCGCAAGGAGCCGTTGGAAGAGGAGCTGCGAGCTCTGGTCTTTGCCACGGTGCCCGCTGAGCTCGGCTCACCAGACCACCACCGCTGGCTGGAGATAGCTGACGCGTGGCGGCGCCGCAGAGAGGCCGCCCCCGCCGCCCTGCTCCTGGACGGCAGCGGGGCGGCAGCGGGCGGCGGCGGGTACGTGTCCCCGGATGGGGGGAGGGGGCGCGGGCGGGGCAGGGGGAGGGGCAGCGGGCGCAGGGGCAGGCGGGGGAGCATGCATGCGTTTGGGTATGGCGGAGGCAGGGGGGAGGGGGGGTACGGAGGGTATGGGGGGTATGGGGGGAGCGGGGGCTATGAGGGGTATGGGATGGGGGAGATGGGAGGGGGGATGGGAGAGGGCGGGGTGATGGTGGCGAGCGGGTATGGCGGCATGGGGGGAGGCGAGTATCCCATGCATATGGGCGCAGATGGCATGCCCATGCACATGGACCCGCATGCCATGGCCATGGCAGGCATGGGCGGCATGGGCGGTATGGGCGGCATGGGGGGCATGGGGGGCATGGGGCAGTTAGCGCTGGGGAACGGGGAGCCATGGGTGTGGGACGATGAGGGGTGGGACGCCCCTGGGATTGCCATCCGCGGGCGCGGCAGGGGCAGGGGGCGCGGCAGGGGGAGGGGGCGGGGGAGGGGGAGGGGGCGCGGGCGCAGCTGGCACCTGGTGGGCGTGGAGATCGTCCCCTCGTACGGCTCTGATGGGGAGGAGATGGGCGCAGAGGGGGAGGAGCGGGCAGGGGGCGCAGGGGGGGGCGCAGGGGGCGCGGGGGGAGGATCCATGGGCACTCGACCAGTGGTGGCATGGGCGGAGGTATGGCCGGGGAAATTAGAGGAGCTGGTGGATAGGAAGGACCATGCGGGGGTGGCTGCGGCCCAGGTGATGACGGCCGCTGTGGTGGCGCGCGCGGCGTCGGCGGCGGTGCGCGCGGCAGCAGAGGCAGTGGCGGTGTTCAAGGAGAGGGCGGTGGCTGCTGCATGGGCGGAGAAGCAGGGCGGTGCGGGGGCGAATGGGGCGCATGGGGGGTATGGGGGGCATGGGGGGTATGGCGTGCATGGGGGGGATGGGGGATATGGAGGGTATGGAGCTGGTGCCACGTGGCAGGATGCCACTGGCGCAGGGTCCCCGTTTGCGGAGTCCCCCTGGGCGCCTGAGCCCCCCTTCCCCCTGACGTCCGTGGCTAGTGTGGCGCGGGGCAGGGGGAGGGGCAGGGGGAGGGGGCGGGGGAGGGGGAGGGGGCGGGGGAGGGGCAGCAGGGGCGGGGGGCGTGGCAGGAGCTACTACTATGGCGGGTATGATATGGAGGACGAGGAGGAGGAGCAGGAGGAGGAAGACGAGGGGGACGAGTTTCTGGCGTATGGAGGGGTGGAGGAGGTGGGTGGGTATGGGGAGGTGGGGGGGAGTGTGCTGGGGAAGAGGGGGAGGGGGAGGGCGAGTGAGGGGCAGGAGCTGGAACACACGATGAGGCGAGCTGTGGGGTTCCTGGAGGGTAGGGGGGGAGAGGTGGAGGAAGAGGAGGAGGTAGTGGTGGTGGAGGATGAGGAGGAGGGGGAGGAAGAGGAGGAGGAGGAGAGGAGGGTTTGGGGGTTGAAGCTGCTGCACAGGTTCCACGTGGGCACGCCCGTGGAGGTGAGCACTGAGCTGCAGTCATTACGAGGGAGGAACCTTGTCTTGCAATGTGAGAGCGATGCATGCTGGGGTAAGTGGCGGGTCCTGTAAGAGATTCTGTAGAGTGCTGAAGTATTGCACGGCCGTGCCACATTGTGCTGTGTGCACCACTTCCTCTGGTTCATTTACGCTCATCCACCTGCCTGCACACGCATCCATCACCTTCACTCCTTGTCTCTTTGCATGCGTGCCTCCTCGCCTCTGTGCCTCCTTGTTTGTCTCCATGCCTCCTCTCTGTGCCTGCTGCCCACGGAGCACAGGTGGCGTCGAACGAGGATGGCCTGAGGGGCAGCTGGTTCACGGGCACGGTGCTGCAGCTGGATGCACGGCGGGCGCTCGTGCGATACGACCAGCTGCTGGACGATGCTGGTGAGCGATGATTGATTGCGCTGCGCTGCGCTGCTAGTGAGCTCGCCTTGGTTCTTCTGTTCTGTCAGGAAGGATGCATATGTGCTGTGCTCACCCTATTCCTCCGTGCACCCCCATCTCTTTCGTGATCCCATTTCTCCCGTGAGGCTATCTGCTCCTCTCCCTCTTCCCCATCAACCTCGCATGTCTTTCACTCGCCCGTCATCCCTTTTCCCTCTCTTCCCTTGCTGCCTACCCTCGCTCATCCCCCGCTCATCCCCCGCTCATCCCCTACTCCCCAACTGTACAGGCACCTATCACCTGGAGGAGTGGGTCTCTACCGCCCCCCCTCCCCCTGCTGCCTCCTCCTCCGCCTCCCCCCATCCCGCCCACCTCGTCTCCGGCGTTCCCCCTCCCCCTCCCGCGCACCTCCCCCCGGGGGGAGAGCCCCAGCGCTGCCTGCGCCCTGCCAGGCCCCCCTATGCGGGGGCGGGGGCGGTGGGGCGCAGGGGGAGGGGCAGGGGGGGGGGCGGGGGGAAGAGGCGCAGGGGAGGGGGAGGGGTGGGGTGGAGCGTGGGCGACCATGTGGATGCGTGGGTGGATGACGGGTGAGTGGGGGGGAAGTGAGGGGGGGATGTGAGGGGGGGGGAAGGAGAGGTTGGTTGGGGGAATGGGGTGATTGAGGGGGCGATTGTGGGGTGAGTGTGGGGGTGAGTGTGGGGTTAGTGTGGGGGTGAGTGTGGGGGTGAGTGTGGGGTTAGTGTGGGGGTGAGTGTGGGGTGAGTGTGGGGTGAGTGTGGGGTGAGTGTGGGGGTGAGTGGGGGCTGCATGATTACATGTCTTAGAGAGTGATTCTGGCCTGGAAGACTCCAGACCGAACTTGTGGCAGGACTCATTGCATTACCCCTGCTGCACTTACCGTCTCTCTCACTGTCACACATACCCTTCCTCCCACCTCCCCTCCCTGCCCCTCTCGCACTGACAGAGTTGTCGCTCCGCTCTCTCTCGTGTGTAACGCTCACCTTCCTCTGCACACTCTCTTCCTTTCACTGCACGCTTTCCTGCCCCTCGTGGCCTCTCTTTTACCAACCACCCTCCTTCCCTTCCCTCTAACCTCCACCTCCCTATTTACCTCACTCACCCCCTGCCCATTCTCTCATCCTACCTGCGGCATGCTGTGTCCTGCTCTCCCTCCCTGCGTGGCAGGTGGTGGGAGGGGGTGATAACAGCGCTGCCCGACGATTCAGCAGCCAGCATGGCCACCGTGGAGTTCCCAGGTGAGCGCCGCCCCTCTCCCTTTCGCTCTCTCGTCCACGCACGACCCGTTACAATCGTCTTTGTGGGCCCTCCGCCACTTGCTGCTGTACCCCCTCGCTCCACACGCCCCTTCTTCCTCCTTTCCTGATACCCTCATTACATTTCACTTGTTCACCTCAATTCCTCTGTTCCCCCTGTTCCCCTCGTCCGCCCCCTCCCCCCTCAGGCTATGGGGAGATGGCGCAGAAGCAGCTGACGTGGCAGCAGCTGCGGCCGTCGATGGTGTTTGATGTGCGCGAAAGGGAGTGGGTGATGGTGCGCGCACAGGCCGTGGCAGAGGGGGCAGAGGAGAAGGAGGAGGATGATGATGAGGTGGAGGAGGTGGTTGCTGCTCCGATGGGGCATGTCAGGGTGAGTGGGGGATGGGTGATGGGCAATGGGTGATGTGCGATGGATGTGTGAGGTGCACGATGGGTCATGGGTGATGGGTGGGAATTAGCTAGTTCGCACAGCACACACTGCTGCACCCGAGTTTCTCCTTCGTCTCTTGTTTCTCCCCCTCTCCCTCGCCTTGACCCCACATCACTGCCCATGCGCCTCTCTCTTCACATACTTGCCCTCCATGTGATGTGAAGCCTGCCCTGCACGCACTACCAGAGCACCGATGTGCACACAGGATAGACCGTCTCAGGATATCCTTGTCATATTTTGTATTCCTCCACCCCAACTCCCCACCATTCCCCCACCAACCCCTGTTTGTCCCCATAATTCTCCCGCTCTGTTCGCTCTCTTATCGCCAACCCCCATATTTTTTCTCCACATGTTTCTCTCCCCTCCCCCTGCAGGACCCAGCGTTGCCAAGGCCAAGGGGACGGCCCCCCTTGCATGGCAGAGGAAGGGGCCGGGCCAGGGGCAGTGGCAGAGGCAGGGGCAGGGGGCGAGGGAGAGCGCGAGGCAGGGGGAGGGTTCCCTGGTACTGAAGGTACGTTGTCTTTTCTTGGACATGGATATTATGGTAGCTGCAAAAACGCTAATTTCAATAATCATCTGCAGTTTCTAACACATCAAATCGATTCTCCACCCTATCTCTTCTGCCCTGTCGTTCCTCTTACAGCTAATGCCTACTGCCCAGTGTCCGTAATGGCTGGGCCTAGGAGAGCCATGGCAGACTAACACGTGGTGAGGTAGCTGGATCTGAACACTAAGTAAGCATCGTGAACATATGGGTTTGACTAATTGCTTCCTAATTTACGTAGTCTTGACTTGGCTATTTCGTAATTTGTCGCCATTTGTGGTAGAAGTTGTTTAAGTTGTGTGCTTCTGTACTACCATAGTGTATGGCATGCTAGCCGAAATAATGTAGTATATCTAGTAATGCGTTAGCGAATCCGTCTAGAATTCCGCCACAAGGGCGTTGAGATTTATAAGGCTGCGTCTGCACCCAGCGCCTGTGACAGAAGCCATCAGGGCGGGAAACATTTTGAACTTGAGTTTGAAAAAGAGCGCGGTCAGCTCTCTGCGACGCTTTCAAATTGAAATCCAGGGGTCCAACACCGCACCGCTTTTCGCAATGCTCAGGCGACGGCCAGCTGCGACGATGCAGCGCGGCCACCCCGAGACGCGGATGATTGTGCCCGCGCCAACCGCTTTCTCCACCGTTCACCCGCTCCTTCGCCCCTTTCTTTCATCGTGAGTCGTCCGATCTACCCTGTGTTCCTCGCCGCTGCAAGGTTCCATCTCGCCGTGCGATTTGATCAGCAATTTGCTTTCTTGAGTCGCGACCGAATGCTTGCGCCAAAACAACATACCGTTCTGTCACCTATTTGATCAGATAGAGCCGATAGTACGAGTAACGAGAGCCGATTCGAGTACTTTCGTCTACGAAGCACATCTTATGAAAACCGAATGGTTGACTCGATTCTGCTGGTTCATCCTATTCACTCACAGCACCACCTCGGTGCATCCCCTAGCACAGCGCTTCCTCGTTCTCTAGGCTAGCCCTTAGCTTAAAATTTCCTGCAAATCTCAAGCCAGAGTATAACTCGTACTATCGACTCTTTGTCGTTCCTTTTTGTCAACCGTCATGCGACGGAGATTAATCAGCATGGCTCGGAGGTCCACGATCCGAGCGTTCTTTGGCCTTGCCCTCGCGCTTACCGCGTCGGCCCTTGTAATCGATCCCACGGACCCGTCGTCCCTAGGTATTGACGTTAACCACCCACACTCTCCAGTGACTTTCATTCCCTCGACCTTCGAGCACGAATGGCTGAACAATTCCAAATTGAATCCCCCAACTAGCTCTCGGATATTTTCTTTTCCTCTTCCGCTCTCTCAACCGACCCGCTTTCTCCGCGTAAAATGCGCTTTCAATATCACTTAACACCCAATGTCCACTTGCGTGGTTGGCGCGCGGAATGGCAGGGCAACTGGAGGCGATGCAGCAGCTCAAGCTCGGCTTCGAGGGGAGCAAGCCCTCTGCGTTCGCCACGTGGACCACCAGCGACCCCTGTGACGGCACGTGGGTCGGCGTCACGTGCGCGCGGCCCGGCGTCATCACAAGACTGTAAGTACGAAGGAACGAACAGCGACGATGCTTCAAACTTCATTCGCACGCTTCCTTTTCGTTAGCAGGTTTCTCGTTTTGTGTGCATGGTCCGTGTATATCCGTCGCATTCTCATCACCACGCACGCCTGCTTCTCCCCACCCGATCCTCACCCTTCTCGCCTCCTTGCGACTCGCAGCGATTTGTGCGACATGGGCATCGCAGGCGCCCTGTCGCCGTTCATCGGCAACCTAACGGGGCTGCTGCAGCTGCGGCTGTGCAACAACCAGATCGCCGGGCAGATCCCTCCGGAGCTCGGCAAGTTGTACTCGGTACAAGAGGTCGAGCTACAGAACAATAAATTCACGGGCGAGCTGCCTACCGAGCTAGGCGGCATGGTGACGTGCACGCACCTTTACCTCTACGGGAACAATCTCTCCGGCGCCATCCCTGCCGCTCTTAAAGCCGTCACTTACCTCAAGCTGGGTCCCGGCAATCGTTTCTGCAGCACGGTTCCCGGCTCGCTATGCGCTGGCGCATCGACGGAGCCGCTCCCCGCAACTCCCGCTCCAGTTGATGACCCCGCGGATGAGGCGGGGAGCCTGCCTCCGCTGATCAGCGCGCCGCTCCCCGACTGCCCGCCGTGTACGGGGGACGATCTGCCGGGGCTCGAGGACGGGTGCACGTGCGCCAAGCCGTCGCTGCTCAAGATTCGTTTCAAGGACCTGGACTTCGCGGCTTATAACGCGAATCAGGAGGACGTGCTGCTCGGCGAGCTGTCCCGCGCGCTGCAGCTGGAGCCACGTCAGCTGATGGTGATTGGGCGCGAGCCGGGCAGCGTGATCCTGTACCTGGCGGTGCTGCCGGTGAACGGGTCGGCGCTGGACCCGCGGCAGGAGGCGAGGCTCGTGGACGCCGTCACGAGCCACCGCGTCATTCTATCCAAGGCCTTCCGAGACTACGAAGTGCTCGGTACAGTCACGCGCCCTCCCTTTTCCCTTGTGCCATTCACAGTGCTTGATCCATGGGGAGTTACGGCTTGGTATGTTCCCGTTTTCCATGCCGTGCCGTCCCCTTCTGATTCCGTGGCCGTGCGTCTAAGCGCCGCCTTCTTCTTGTTGTTGTTCCTCATTCCACCTTCGCCTCCATTTCAGGAGCGCCCGGCCTCGCGTTCAAGCCGTCGCAAGAGTCGCAGAACGCCGACGCCGAGTCGTCTTCCGCGTCTTCCGGCGCATCTTCCGGCCTCAGCACCGGAGCCATCATCGGCATCGTCGTCGCGTCGCTCGCGGCCGCGCTGGTTATCGCGGCGCTCTTCTGCCAGCTGCTGACGTGGCGCCGCGACAGGAACGCTGCGCGCCGCGCTGACGTGGAGAACTCGCGGATGGCGAAGGTGCTGACGGGCAGCATCGAGGCGCCGTACAGGCCGCACGGGAAGAACTGTGAGTGTAACGATTCTTGAGTGTGACGATTCGTCAAGGAACGGGAGGAGCCCCTATGCTGTTGCTTTTGTGACACCATCTTTCCCGCTCCCTGCGCCTACCTCTCGCTCTCCTTCTCACGTCAGTTTCCCTGCTTCTCCGCCCTCCCCGTCTCGGCCCTCCCCATAACCGCTTCCGCCAGCTATCTGGGGAAGGTGGGATTTACCACGCGGCAGCCCCTTCCCGCCGGTGAAGCCGTCGATATCGGGAGGCAACTCGTTCAACGAGCCCGCGCTCTCCTTCCGCAGCGGCATCCCCGGCACCCCCGCTGGCGCGCACGCGAATGGCTGCGGCGACAGCGTCGCAGGCACGCCGCGCGACACGCCCGGCGTGTCGGAGCGAAGCTTCGCGTTCCAAGGCGCGAGCTCGCCCGCCTCCCCCGCGAACACCGCCGGATTGTGCGGCGGCGACAACGGCGACGACCCGCGGACGCCCGAGATCGGAACGACGCGGACGGTGGGCGACGCGGAGGGGGAGGCACCCCTCAGGAGGTAATGGAGATTAAGAAGATCGGTCTTAAGGCGATCCACGCGGCGACGCAGGGGTACTCGAAGGCGAACCTGATAGGCGACCGCGGGCACGGGCGTATGTACAAGGCGGACTTCTCGAGCAAGGCGCGCGTGCAGATGGCGGTGCTGCTGGAGCTGTCCGGGGAGAAGCTCGACGAGGCGGAGTTCGCGGCGGCGGTCAAGGCGCTGGGGGACCTGTGCGTGCAGTCGAACCGCCTCGTAGCAATCATGGCGTATTGCGCGGATAAGGGCCAGCGGTGGGTGGCCTATGAGTACCTGCCAGGTGGCAGCCTCAAGGACCACCTGCACGGGGACCTGCGGTTCGAGCGCGCGCTGACGTGGCAGAAGCGCGTGCAGATCGCGGTCGACGTGGCGGCGGCGCTGGAGTTCCTGCATGAACAGTGCGAGCCGCTGATGATTCACCGCGACGTGTCGGCCGACAACGTGGTCCTAGACGGCGAGCTGCGCGCGAAGATCAAGGACGTCGGCATCCACACGCTCGTGCGCGATTGGTCGGAGGGCCGCGCCGTGTCGCCGTCCGTGCTGGGGTCCATGGGGTACCAGGCGCCCGAGTTCCGCGTGAGCGGCGAGCAGACGGCGCGGTCCGACGTGTTCAGCTTCGGCGTGGTGCTGCTCGAGCTGCTGACCGGCCGGAAACCCGTTGACTCGTCGCGACCCAAGGGGCAGCAGTCGCTGCTGACGTGGGTGCTGCCGCACCTGGAGAACAGGCTCGCCGTGACGAGCCTGGTGGACCCGTACCTGCGGCTCAACTCGACGCTCGACCCCAAGTCGCTGCACCTCTTCGCGCTGGTGGCGGCGCACTGCCTGCAGCACGAGCCCGAGGACCGCCCGCGCATGGCGGAGGTGCACAGCCAGCTGCAGCACCTGCTGCTCTCGCTCTCCCCCGACGGGCTTCCCTCCCCCATCTCCCCCGCCGCTGCCTCCGCCTCGCCCCTCTCCCCCGCCTCCCCCGCCTCCCCCATCTCCCCCATCCCCAACCTCACCGCCGCGTCCCCCTGCACCCATGCTCCGGTGAGTGTCGTGCCTTGAGTTTTCCATGTTGGTGCCTGCTTCTGCGTTCTCTTGCTTTCTTGTGCGTGCATGCCTGCTGTTCTGTCTACTCTCTTGCCCGCCTACTCTCATGCATACATTTGTGCCTGCTCGACCTGTCTGCTTCCCATTCTCATACCCACTGCCTCGCCCTCTCCACCCCTCTTCACCCCTCTCCACCCCCTTCTCCCCCTCTGTAGAGCCCTGATGCGGAGAACGAGAGCTGCTCGGTGGCAGATTCAGGCACCACGAGTGGCACACACGTGTCGCACTCAGCACGGCGCTACGATCAGAAGCGCTGGGTGCAGGTCACCCCCGGCCCCAACACTGCTGTCAAGACCCACGCTAGTGCCGTGACTCCCGCTGCTGGTGCTGCTGCTGGTGTGGCGAATGTGCGTTCACCACTTGCGCCAGTGATCAATCTGTGAGGAAACTGGGGGGGTGCGACTCTCCATGTGTGACTGACTGCTGCAAGGCATGCGATGCCAGTCCGTGCAGCATTAGATCTGCTGACACCCTCATTTGGCGCTAGGATCATTCTCCCTGTGATCCCTCCCCTCCTGCTCCATGCCTCTAGGTAGTCCCACTAGGTACCGATAGAATGGATGTGTGAAGGGCCACCCCAGCCCTGCCGTTAGGAGTAGAGATAACTGGAATAACACTAGTTGTGTTCTGGTTGGCAGCTTGACGTATAATAGGTTCCATGACTCATTATTCATGCTAACAGCTGTGCAGTGCATTTCACCTTCTAAAATAATTTAATGTGGTTCTCGAGTCTGTCTAGCGCGATCAGAAATGCAACGCACTGTACAAAGTGGATAAAAACAGAAGCCAACAAAACAAGTATCGGTAGGAAGTGTCATGTTTGCCCATGGGAAACCAGAGGCATCAACTCCACATCCCCTGTGTCATCTGAACCATCCATATGCCCATTCATGTGTGCAGCTTCAGCTGCATTGCTCTCTGCAGTAGGTGACAGTGCTGATGTTGGCGACATAACCCCATGCTCTCCCTTTATTCCTGGATACTCTCCATTAGGCTCGCACGACAGAAGCACCATTAGGACATACCCAAATGTGACTATAGCGGACCAGACTATAAAGCGGATGAAGGCGGAGGTGTCGAGGGAGGCGAGGAGCATGGTGTTGACGAGGATGGAGGCGGACGGCAGCCACGGGCACAGCGGCACCGAGAACACCCGCACTGCCTCCGCTTCCCTGCACCACTGGGGGGGGATAGCAGGGAGGGGGAAAATGTACGGGGGATGTGGGGAAAAGGGAGGGAGACTTGGGAGAATGGCAAGAGATTGGTGGGGGGGGAGAGGGAGTTGAGGGGAGGGAAGGAGAGTGAGGAGAACGAGGAGAACGGGCAAGGAGAGGGGATGAGGCAACAGGGCTCTGAAGAGAGAGTTCCAAAGCCACCATGTGCCTGCAGCACCCAGGGAGAGGCAGAGGAAGGGGAGCGAGCGGGAGGGAAGGGCAAGGGGATGACTGGAACTCCTCTTTGGGTCTACAGTACGTGTTGCTGACAGTGTTATGGTTGAGAAGTAGCTGTGCCATGGGTGGTGCAGAAGAGCCGAGGGAGTGAGAGCAGAGGAAGAGCAAGGGACGTACTGCAAGGGAGGCAGTGGCAGCAGCCCAGAGGGCAGCGGAGAGCAGTGCGGGTGCAGTGTGGCCTGGGAGCACTCTGAACGCCACTGCTGCGCCTGCTGCCCCCGCCACCATCACACCCAGATGCATCAGCACCACCCCCATACCCTCTCCACCGCCCTGCCTTTGCCTTTGCCGTGAATTGGGCTTTCCCTCAGTAAATTGCCCGTTCTCCCTCTGCTGTTGCACAGCTTGCATTTGATGTTTTTGCGGAGACAGCACAGCAGTTGGGTTGGCCTTGTAAGGCCGGGAGTGAAATTCGTTTGCCATCAAAGGCACTCCATCGTCTCCTGCTGCTGTCGATTCTGCTGTGCCTATCTCCTCTCCTGCTCCTTCTGATGCTGCTGTGTGCGCAGCAGCCCCATCAGCAGCACAGGCAGCGGCAGGGGTGGGGCAGAGAGGGGAGGGCAGGGTGACGCGGGGGTGGTAGCGGTGCAGGAGGAGGGCGAGGGCGACCATGAGGAAGATGAGCAGTGTGCCGATGGACACCATGCTCGCCAGTGTCTCCAGATCCACCAGTAGCGCTATGACACCTGTCGCCACACCTGCCCGCGAGGGATGGCACGGGGGGGAGTGGAACGGGGTCCGGGAGTAAGTGAGAGCAAAAGTGGCTTTGGAATAGGACAGTAGGACGTGTTGCAGGAGATTTTTACCAGTCATGGGATGGGACATGAAGATGGTGTGATTCAGCACCTCGCACGCACTGCAGGCAAACATGGCGACTGTAAAGAAGATGCAGAACAGGGGGCGCTAGCAAGAACAGCATGCCTCAGTATTGACGAGATCATGGCAACCTACCGAGAACAACCGTGGCAAAGAGAGGCGTGCGCGTCACAGGTGACACCGATGCGAATTTCTTTGGCAGAAGCTCGGCCCGAGCCACCACGAGCACGATCCGAGCCTGTCCCATCAGCCCCACCAGCACGGCAGTCACTATGGCTAGCAGCGCCCCTGCTGCCACCGCGCCTGCCGCCCAACCCCAGCTTGCCAGCTGGCGCAACGCGGAGGAGAAGGGAGCGTCAGCGTCGATCTGAGTGTAGGGCACGAGGAGGCAGAGCGAGAGCGCCATGAAGCCGTAGATCAGAGCCACCACAGCCACCGATCCCACGATCCCTATCGGGAGATCGACGGCCGGATTTGCTACTTCTTCTGCAAGTGTGGTAACCGCGTCAAAGCCGATGAAGCAGAAGTAGACGAGGGCTGCTGCGTCCAGCATGCCTTGCAGGCCGAAGGGAGCGAAGGAGGTGGTGACGTTTTCCAGGCTGCCTGCTGTGAAGCCAGCGACGATGATAATGACAATGGCAAGCATGCTGAGACCGGAAGCAAGGAAGTTGAAGTAAGAGGATTCCTGCGTGCCGTATGCCACCAGCACGGACAGGGACAGGATCAGCCCCAGTGCAACGAAATCCAGGGTGATTCCCCATGCTGGCACGGGCAGCCGGAAAAATTCCGGGTCCTGCCCGAGGAACCCTGCGAAGTAGGCCGAGAGGCCGCGGGCAGCAGCGGCGTTGGAGAGAATGTACTCCATAAGGAGATTCGCTACTGTGATAAAGGCTGGGAGCTCGCCTAGGGTGACCATGAGGTACGAGAAGGCGCCGCCCGCTACGGGCAGGTGGACGGCAAACTCGGTGTAGCAGAGGGCGGAGAGGAGTGCTGACGTGGCAGAGAGGAGGTAGGAGAGGATGACAGAGGGGCCGGCGTGGTCTCGAGCCGCCACCCCTGTGATGACAAACACGCCTGTGATCGTAGTGCGGGGGAGAAGGAAAGGGGAGGAAGGATGGGGGTGAGGGGGAAGGGTTGGGGGGAAGGGGGGAGGGGGGGGGAGGGGGCGAGATGGGGGTGTTGGTGAGGGGGAGGTGATAATAGCAGGAGGAACGGGAGCGGACGAGCGGGGGATAGTTGTGGAAGTTGGGTGTGAAGAAAGCGAGAGGTACATAGGGTCGTGGGAAGTGGAAAATATCGTAGGTGCTACGGTGCTTTATGGTGCTGTACGATGCTTGATCACGCAGTGCAATGCTGTACGGTGGTTCACGGTGCTGTACGGTGCTGCACGGACCAGCGCCAATGATGCTGGCGACCCCCAGCGAGATCGTATCCGCCCATCCCAGCGACCGCTTCAGCGTCGCTTCTCCGCCTCCCCCGCCACCCCATTCCGCCAACTCCGCGTTCTCCGCTTCCCCAGTCCTACTGTCCCTGTCCTTAACCGTCGACCTACGATGCGGGGATCGCGGCGAGTGCCACGTGTCTACTACAGCAGCATCTGAGCTGGCGAAGAGCGTGCTGACCTCCTGCACGCGGAACACGCGCGAGCGGAGCCGCTGCCATGGCGTGGGTTGGTCCCGGCGCGAGGGCATTGCTACACAAGCACACTGTCGGCTACCACATCGTTACGTTGCAAAGCGATCATGCCTATACGTTTGCGAACGGGGCTAGATGGTGCTTGACGACGGCATAGCTGAATTTGGTTCGCTAGAAGCTGGCATATACCTAGACAGGTGAGTTCGGGTCGGGAATAAAGAAATGGCAGCACATGGAAGTGTGAAACTGCAAGATGGCTATTATTTCATCCTAAATTTCATATGCCATGGTGGCTTGTGCACCGGCATCGGTATCATGGATTTTGGGAACTAGACATTTGGGGAACTTTAGAGCCATGACTAGTTGAAATTATTTTCCCAATCTAGTCTTAGAAATCAGATAGAAATACGGTATAATGCCTACAGCTTCAGTGGGGCCCCATGCCTCAAAATCAATATAACTTCCATTTTGTAGTGAACTTCCTCTTAGCAACCGTGGTGTTACATATCTGTCGCAAAATCAGCCCCGCATTATTGGTAGGAACACGTTTGCTCGGTTGGGATTCGACGCGAAGTTTAACGAAAGGGAGCGGTTGAGGTCTTGGGGAATCTCGTGGTTACGAAGTCTGCCCACTTTGAGGAGAACAGCAACCTGATTTATTGGAGTGATGAATCATTGGAGCTGCAATGGCGATTCGCAGCAAATTCGTTCATCCATTGCCAAGCTGCCTTGCTTGCATCCCACAACTAAACCATCATTCAACCATTCCATCCTTCTCACAAGTGCCCAATCTTCCTAAGCACTCACTCCTCTTGATTCGACGTATTCTCTCACAGCTTCACATCTTTACTTGCCATCATCCATCCTTCCTAGGATAGAAATCTAAGCTGGCATGGTGATCAATGGAATTTCCGTAGCCGTTCTTCCCAGGTTCTGCCAAGCTCGAGGTGTCTGAAAACGCCATCAACTGATCCGCCCTTCCCGGTTTATTGTTGGCACTGCCTTTCTGCTTGAAACAACGGGGGATATTCAGCAAGGCCTCCAGCGATACGTCTTACGTTCATTCAAAGTGACACATAAGCTTCACGTAGCTTCTTGGCGGACCAAGTAGATTAATAAAAGGCTTACAGCAAGGACGCGACTGATTCGTCAAACCCTGCAGCTCAAGCGGCGGGCGACCAAGACAATTCGGTGCTTGGAAGGCGCGGGCTACCTTCTTGCGGGGTGCGTCTTATTGTAAACGCTTCGTCATGGCGGCTCCCTCAGCGGAAAAGAAGGGCGTAACGCCAGGGGCTTGGTCTTCCGGGCTGCTGGAATGCCACAAAGACGGCAAGACATGTGAGTCACTCGCCAAAGTCTCGCCCTGTTCTGTTATTAATCTTCAATCTTCGCAATTGGTTGAGCCAGCCTCAACAGCATATGTGACAGTGGGTGCCAGCCGCGAATATCCCGAAATGCCCAGGGTTTGGTGTACCCTCCATCCCCATCCTTCTCTTTCTTTATTCGATTTTTCTCCCCCTCCCTTCTGGCATCACGTGTCCCCGCAGGTCTGTGCGCGTTGTGCTGCCCCTGCGTTCTCGCTGGCCGCATCGCCGAAATCTCAACTGACGGCTTCACAGGTTCATCCTCCGCTATAACACTCTCGGCTTTCTGTTTAGCCTTGATGCCGATCCCTCTACGCCACTACTGTCCGACCTGCTCGTTTTTTGCCATATGCAAGTCTGACTGGGAAGGTGTCCTCGCACTGGTGGTCACTGCATCGTAGTCGACAGCTCATCGTGCAGCACGAAGCAGGTCGCACTCCCCTCACAGCAGACAGAAAGTGCATTAGAAGCTGTGTAGAGCAAGAACCAAGGCATCACCATGCAGCCTGAGCTGTTATGACTGGCAGCGGTTGTTCCAATTCATTCTCTCTCGCTTCTCCCTCCCCCTTCCACCCCACCACCCTCAACTCCTTTTCTACGTCACTGAATATGCGGCCACTGATATTTGCCTCGCAGACGCCACCTTTGCGTGCTGCTGCTGGGCATTGATCCAGTACTTCACAGTCGGGATGTGCGGTTGCCTCTACTCTAAAGGTGACGCCTCTCCAGCCTTTACAATCTCCTCAGCTACTTCGCAATTGTGATGGTTTGACACACCCTCAGTACTAATTAGTGCGCCGTCCCCGTTAACTCTTGCAGGCTTCCGTGGCATGCTGAGGGATAAGTATGGCCTGCCGAGCAGGCCCTGCGTGGACACTGCAGTACACCTCTTCTGCCCCTGCTGTGCCTTTGCTCAGGAGTACCGAGAACTCAAAGCCAGAGGTTGGGACCCACGTCTAGGTGAGTTCCCTTTTCAAAGTGGTGAACTGTTGATTTAAGCAACTTCAGTGAATTTGGTGCCCGGTGACCTCAGAGCAAGTCCAGTCTGAATTCCAAGAGTCTGAGTCTCAGCTCCTGATGTCTGGCTCTCTTTGCAGGCTACACAGGAAATGTTCTCAACTTCAGTTCACAGAAAGTGGCTCCTTCTCCTCAACGAATGGAATGAAAGTCGGATGAGAAAGAACAACATATTGTGATGTGGTAGAAAGTATTTTGTTATGCGTTCTATCTCCTTTTTGCCCTTTCCATTATCCTCATATATGTAATAATGTGTCTTATGTTTCCGTTATTTTTTTGGTGAAGCTTCAGAAACTGTCGCGCCTATCATTGTGCACGGAAAAGCGCAGCATGTAATTCCACAACCAGCTTGCCATACCATTATTATTATTATTATTTTGATACGGAAAAGTACACTAAAGGATAATGTACAAAACGCATCAGGCAGTCGTAACTGTTGCCATACCATTATATTTCCACCGTTATGGACTCTTGACGCTACACAAAACGAACTACACTGTAGTGTTGTGAGTCAGGTTGTGGTGTGGTCTGGTCAGGTGAACAGATTGTCCCTTTCGGCTCGCTCATGCCCAACCATCATCTCGCCTCGCCATCCCCATCAGCAGTTTCTCAATGTCAGAACACTCCAGCACAAACTTTTTGACTGCTGTCCGAAAGTGTGACGCTGATGGCTCCCTTATTGTCGAGCCGCTCCAAATCACCACGATCCCAAGGTTCCCTACCAACGTTTCTGCTAGCAACGGCGGAGGAAGCATCCGGTACGAAGTTACAATCCGTCGACGGAGAAATCAAGAAGCAATTGAGACCGATGTCTAACCCCGCAGTGAATTTTTGAAATCTCAGGTCTTGAGTCATTACTCCTGCACTTTCAGGATCCGCTTTCCATGAAGCCTTCAAGCCTTCGTTGCAAGCACACTCATTTGCAAGGCTGTTAGCCACGGGGTGCATGAAAGCTTACGCAAGACTGACCTCTTCGCGTGGAATCTTTCCATGGAGGGCCTCCCTGAGTGGATAGCCTTTGACGGCATTATCAGGTGACGTGGTCTATAAGTTACGTTCCTTCATTATGTTCGCGCATTTCGAGGATATTTTGTCTCTCGTTTCCGTCAGAAATTTCGGGTCTCATGCTCAGTATGGAGATTCAAACTCACAGCGATGTTTACAGCGGAGATAATACTTCTCACCAACAATGGCGTCACGACGATATTGGCAGGGATAAGGAATTTTCTAATGCTGGAGACATCATCACACCAGGACCACCTCCATCGTCCTGTCATCCGCATACTTCAGTACGTTCAACTTCTCACCATATTCATCATTCATCCATGCCGAGTCTTAATCCCCTTCATTCGCGTATTTTAAACCGAGTGTTGCAGTCTCTGTCAGGCGCGGGTGTTCATCCTTCTTCAGTAAATATTACGGGTGTTGTCAAACCTTACTCGTCGGAGAACCATGGACGTCATGTGAATCACGCAAGGCGGAAGGCAATTCTAAGGGGAAATGTAAGATTTCCTTTCAACCATGAGGTGATTGGCTTCTCAAGTTCACATAAGTATTCCGCAGTGTCTTGGATTAAATCTACAACGTTTTTTGTTGCTCCTTGAAGGGTCGTGCTGGCTTTCTCGTGGTTGCCAATGACCGTGATGAGGAGCGAAACATGGCTACAGAAGCTATATGCTTCTCCGAGTCATCACCTAAACAAGGACCTTCACTTCCTCTCTTCAAAAGCAGCCAGTTGTCTGACACGTGGCTTAATTCCGGGGGACTGCAGAAAGACGACCTCCTTCAGCCAGGAGGGGAAATGATTGCAGATGGAAGAAAGGTCCAATCTCAGCAGCAGGAGAACAACTGGCAGTATTGTGGTCATTCGTTGCTTCCTTACTCAAAGCATCACCAACCCTCTGGTTGGCCTGCAAGTAATTTCCCTTCGAATGAGAGCTCGTCCTCCCAACCTCATGAGCATACAGCACAGGATATGTTGTCCTGCACTGCTTCCCTTGACTCTGCTCAACTTGCTGCTCAAGGAAAGTCCCTTTTTCATTTTTTAGAAGACAAATCTGCTGCTTATGCTGGAATGGGAATCAGCCTCCCCGAGCACCAGGAGCAGGCAGCACCACAGAATGGTGCACAGCTGGCATTGGAGCGAGTTAGCTCGGCCCCTGTTCCAATTCTTCAAGAAGGCTTCCACGGACATGCTTTTGAGGAATTCGACGATGGGTTTGCTGCAGGTTTATGGTCCAGCCATCCTCAGCAGGGAATCCTAATGGATTATATGCAGGTTGATGGGAGTCAGAATGAAGCTGCTGCGCTACCTGGGTCCAGCTATATGGCTATGGTGACAGGGGAAAAGGACATTCTGGACGCTGATACTACTCATTTGGGAGCGCAATTACCGCCGTCTGATGGCAAGAGCAGTGTTGTTGCTGGAGGTGGTGGTGATGATGAGGACCCGAAGAAGACTGAAGCGGAGCCTGAAGCCAAGTCTGTACCGAATATGTCGTTTATTCTTGAGGCTGCGCAAGAGTTACTGATGGAGGTCTGCCGTTGCCCGACACCAACTCGCAAGTGGAGACGAAGGCACGATGGCAGCAGCTTCGGAGATGGTACCGGTCAAAGGCCATCACCAGTGTCCTCGTCTGTCTGTGGTGCGAGTGGACAAGGACAGCTGCAGACTATCCCTATCGGTGGTACAAGAGAGCAGGCACAAAGGCTTCGATCCCTCCTTGTGGATGTAAGTTACCGTAGTATGCTGTTCCTGCTTTCCTTTTTCTCTGGGAAATGGTATTATGATATGTGTTTGCCTTTGGATGATACAGGTGGAGAAGTCATATGGAAAGTACAAGGAACAGAATACAGCCTTAGCTGCTGCATTTGATGCTGCCACTGGAACAGAAGGTTCAGCTAACATGTACACCAAACCTTCACTGCACGCGATATCTACTGCGTACCGCTCTGCCAAGGATAGTATCGAGGCCAATCTTAGAAGACTGGCAAAATAGACTGATGTGTGTATGTTGTTTTGACAGGTGGAAATAATGGTTTATAAGGATTTTATTTCATGGAACTTTCTTTTACCAGGATGAAACGTCTTCACTGGCCTGCTACGGTAGTTCCCGTTATTATTTTCCGGATTACACCGAGGACTCGTTATTTCCCGACGGCTTCAGCCTTGAGGCGTTCAAAGCTACTTGATTACCTTACGTAGCAGACCTCTGCTGATCGCCACCAAGAAGTTCGTTGTTTCGGATTCCGTGAGACATCTTAGGACGGCAAGCCAGTCAGAGAAAAGTGTTGTTGCTCTTTTCAATCGACGATCTCCTTATTGCCTTGGCAAGGATTAGTATTGACTTGGCTCAAGGAAAATCTTTCGTCTCGCAGGCAAAAGCTAGGTCTGCCGCCTAAGGAATGCGCTATACTACAAGTCAGACATAAAATGCTCAACATTCCCTGGCCCAGTTTCGCACGCGGAGATACTATCCCTAAATTTCTGTGCTAACGCATGGACAAGTCAAACCTTTGAACTCTACACGTGCTCCCTCAAGATTCAATTTTGCCTTGGCCATGGCGGTCGGTGGCAATAAAAGTGGTTCTGGGGGTACCACTCGCCTCGACCGGCTTCTCATTCTTCTTGATAGTACGAACGGCATCCTTCAAAATTTCCACCCCGATGATTCCACCGAGATCACGAAATGTTTCAATTCCGCGTCACTTACAGCATGTCTGTAACCTGCTTACGTCGCATCACTATATCACTTCAGCAGAAAAAACCAGTTTCCTCCGCTTCACGCGTGCTCTTTCCCGCCCTTGTTGGTTCTTCTCCTCTTCGTTTTTGGCGATAACGCTCAACTATCCTCACCAGTCCTCCTTTCATATTCCCTGTCGATAAACTTTTTTCAGCTGGAGAAGCGGCCACGACTCGCGACACAGCCGCGCGTCAAATTGGAGAGTTAGCCAGCCTCCACAGAGCAGATTTGCATCCTCTCATTCGGCGTGTATGATCCCCAATCGTCTTCGGATGCCTGTGCTGTTGATTTCCCTGCATTCCTTTCCTAATTGAACTATAGCTATCACTTTCACGGTGCACCCTCAATCTTGCTAGTTCTTCCTGGTAGTCAAGTTCCTTTGCAACCTTAGAACCATTCGTCTGTCCTCTCTTCTCAACCCCTTCGTACAGGTGAAGAGGTTGCTGAAGAGCAGCAAGTGGGACACGCGTGTGGCTGCAGCCAAGGCGTTAGGGTACATAGCTCGGAACACTCCACATGCCACGGTGCAGGAACTGCAGATTGCTGCTGCTACTGTATCTGGTGAAGATGGAGCAATAGCAGCACGGACTGACACTGCTTCTGCAACCCCTGATGGCGAAAGTGCTGCACCAGCTGCTGCAGGAACTGCAGCAGGAACTTCTGCTGCTGGTGGTGGCTTGCGCTTCGAGGGGTAAGACGTCGTGGTGGAGGGAGTCTTAGGTGCTTGATGGTGCAGATTCATGTGCTGCTGACAATGAACTCTGAATGTTCGAAGTACTGATGTCTGCATCCATGTGCTGGTTTTTTATTGTTTTCTTCTATGACGTCTCTCCATGTGTCTCACGTTATGCAGCTTTGACATTGGTCGTGTGTTGGACAATGGGGCACCACTTGTGGCATCAGCTGGCAAGGTAAGGCGTGCTTATGATGTTGTGTGCCCATAATGCATGGAGGTGCGGATTCATGGTTGTGTTGCGTAAGTATTGGTGATGCATCACTGGTGGCGCAGCTTACAGCTTGGCAACCTAAATATTTTTTCTCTTTATGTAGTGAGTTGGTTGAAACCAAGTAGCAAGGCATACTTTCTCTCTGGTCCATTCCTCATCTTGCTTCTTCCATGCCAAACCTTTCATGCAGAACACGCCCAACTCTGCATCATGCCCAATGTCACAACATAGCTAAATCTGCATTTGCCCGTTTCTATGCCGGCCCAGGAATATGATATTGCAGCAGTTGGGCGAGGGGGGAAGGAGGCGATTGCCAAGCAAAAGAAATCCTTACGACGGAGACTAGGTGAGATAGTGGAATGAGGTCATGGTGCAACACATGCATGCCTTCCTGTGCCACTTTCTGTAGAGATGAGCATTTGCCCCGCGCGGGTCGGGCCGGCCCGACCCGACCCGTGGTTTAGCCCGGGTCGGGTCAGTAGTTTCAATAGCCTGCCCCGTGCGGGCCGACCCGACCCGACCCGGGCTAAAACCCGACCCGAGCATGGGACTCGGGCCGAGTCGGGTCGGGTCTCGGGTCAGCTTTGACCCGACCCGATTTCGGGTCAGAATTTGGGAAATCGGGTCGGCTCAGATCTCGACACAGGAGGGGACCCGAAACCCTAATGTGGACTTTGTGGAGAGGCTCAATGTCGAGGGATCTGTAAAGAGTGGGAGGCTTAGTTGGTATTGTACGTTTACGGGGGTTTACGTTTACGTGACTTTACGTAGTAAACTTACGTTTACTTACGTGGGCCCAAAATGGCTTTACATTTACGGTCAGCCAGAAACATTTCTGGCTGCCCGGATAGATAAGAAATCATCGGACTAAGTGGCTGCATGGGAAGCGCCTAATCTATCACTAGCTTGGTTCTTCTACGCCCAAGCATGTTAGCACATTATTACATCAACTTACAGATGCCCACGGACATGTCACAGCCTCTCCCCACCTCATATCAGTCAGATTTTCTCGTTTCGCAGGCAAAGAAACTTTTTTTGCCCTGCCCGTGCGACTTTACGTAAAATTACGCGTAAGAAAACGTAAAGGTAAACTCCAGCGTAAGTTTACGTTTACGTGACCCAAAAAAACGTAAAGTACCAACTAAGGTGGGAGGGGGGGGGGGGGGTGGTTGGGAATGGTAGATTTAGTGTGGTAAGGATTGGTGAGCAGTGGCGAATTGGTTGGAATTATTTGTTCCAACACATTCGTCAGAAACGAGTGCCACGGCGAAACTCCCAATCTCCACCAGGTTTTCAGCGAAATTGACGATTTGCAGAGTTACGCCAACGAACTCACCGATCTGCGCAGATCGGCGGACGAAAGCGCCAGATCGGCGGGCGAAATCGCCGATCTGCGCAGATCGGCGGGTGAAAGCGCCGATCTGCACAGAGCGCGGGTGAAATCGGGTTTCCTGGCCCGACCCGACCCGGCCCAAGCCGAACTCGGGCCAGGGTCGGCCCGGCCCTGTACCCCCGGGTCGGGCCAGATGTTTTGGGAATCTGGCCCGAGGTCGACCCGACCCGACCCGACCCGAGGGCCCGTATGGCCCGGCCAAATCGGGTCGGGTCGGGTCGGGTCAGGTCGGGTCAAATGCTCAACTCTAACTTTCTGATTTCTAGCTCCATAAGACACACATTGTTTGCATGCTGAGCTGAGAGTACTGCAGAAATTTAGGAATGCAATTCAACGCTGGATAAGCTATTATTGGGACGAAAAGGTTTGGTGGTGAGGTGCGGGCAGGCGGAGGGGAGGGGGGGTTGATGGTGACGATGCTGAGCCAGGCTGGCGTCAGCTGGTCGGCACAGCGAGGGTATCAAACACAGCTCAGTTTTCTTGATGAGAGATTGAGTCCCAGCTAGTCAGTGGGAACACCCATACGAGGCCTTTCTCTCTTTCTTCCGCACACTTTGTGTTTCACAGGTCTAGACGAGTGTGAGCGATTCATGGATGTAAGCGATATTATCAGAGACGAGGATCTGGAAGCACCGGCGCAAACAGCAGCACCACCAGCAACAGGTTCATCAAACCCTGCTCCAGCAGCTGACGGCAAGCAGAAGCAGAGGCGAGAAGCTACGGCAGGAATAAAGCGTGGAGCGCAGGATCTAATGGCTGAGATGCTGCCAAGTGGCACCGGTCCGGGGGTTGGTGATGGTGGCTGTGCTTCTGGTAGTGTATCACCTGCTTTGTCGAAGTCCCTCAGTGCGAGGGAGAGAAACATGCTGAAGCGGAAGGCAAAGAGCATGAGCAAGGACGGGGGGAAGAGAGGAGGGGCACATGGTGGGGTGGGGGAGGTGGATGAGGATGAGGATGGAGGGGAAGGGGAGCGGGGAGGCAGGAAAAAGATTCGGACAAAGAGTGTGGTTTCAGATGGGAAGGAGGACAATAAGGTTCGTTCGTTTATTATCTTTTGGTTGTTGCATGCGACCCATGCTTTTCACTTCACCTGGGTGTTTGAGTCGCAGCTGGGGGGGTATGCACAGAATCTGTCGACCATCGGTTCCATTGTCCCTCTTCCAGCCCTTCAAAGCGCCCTCTTTCACTATTTGTTTTACCCCTCCTTTCCACCGCTCCTGCCTGCCACCCGCCCATCAGATCACAGTAGAGCAGGTAACAGCAGAGGGGGATGACTGGGAGGAAGAGGAGGAGGAGGAGGGGGAATGGCCCTTGCAGGCGCTTTGTGAACGACTGCTCACAGACATGTTTCACCCAGGTAATGGTTGCTGTGTCATTCAGGGTATACATTTGAAGTTCCCAGCTAAATGTCGCCCTTTCGCTTCATTAAATACTCATGTTCCATCAGCGGTGGGACACGCGGACCTGTTTCTTTGCAGCACGACCTGGTGTTTTTGTCAGAATATTCCTTTGCCTTCCTCTTTGTTTGTTCGTGCAGTGTGGGAGGTACGTCACGGCAGTATTCTTGCCCTCAGGGAGGTTATGTCCGCGCATGGGAACAGTGCTGCAGTCTGCCGCCCAATTGTTCCTTCTAAGTGGACCAGTGCCAACGGGAAGGAGGAGAGGGAAGATGGGAAGGGGAAGATGGAGCTACAAATGGTGAAGGAGGGCGATGATGGCAAAAGTGTGCCAGAAAAGAGGGAGCTGGATGTGGCTTTGGTCAAGGCGCCGATGGTGAGGTCGGAAAAGGAGGAAGAAGGGGTTAACGAGGAAATGGAGGGGGTGAATCATCAGGGTACTGAAAAAGAAGAATGTGGGGAGTTAGGATTGGGGGGCGTGAAGCGGGAAGTAGGACAAAAAGAGTTTTTGGGTAAGCGAATGGTAGCAGTGAAGAGGGAGATTGAGGCGGATACTTGTCCAAAGGCAGAGGTGAAAGAGGAGGCAATATTTGAAGAGGACAGTACTAAAAGGAGCGCAAAGGAGGAAGTGAAAGTAGAGGATGCGATGGAAGTAATGGAGGGGCGGCTGGAGGGAGTAAAGAGGGAAGCGAAGGCAGAGACGATGAAAGTGAGTGGAGGCTGGCTAGGCCTCTCCATGGGCTCTGAGACGTCTCAAGGAAAGCTTGCCGCTACTGTTGGAGTGTGTGTGAAGGAGGAAGCAGGAGAAGGGGACAGGAAGGGGGAGGAGGATAACGGAGCTGAACGATCTGGATTTGACTTGAACGAGTTGATGGTCTGTAAAGTGGAGGACACTGAAGCGAGTGTAACGAATCAAGAGGGCGTCTCTAACCAGAATTCTGGAGGGAGGGCGCGTATGGGCTTGGACTTACATCTTTCTGATGGCATGCAATCAGAAGAGATGGGAGAGGGGTCGGTACGAAATTTGGGGAATGAAGGGAGTATTAAGGGGAGTAAGGTAGAAGCCAACACGGATGGGAGTGAAGAGAAGAGCAAGCGTGAGGGAAGTGAGAAAGCTGTAGGAAAGGGGTTGGACTTGAACATGGAAGTTTTCGAGGAAGCAAATGAGGGGAAACCTGTGGATGAGGGGGAAGTGGCAGAGGAGAAGAATGGAAAAGAGAAGGAGTGTGCGCTGGTGGTGGCACAACCTGTGAGGACGGCGGAGAAAGGTGCAATCCCGACAATGGAATCTGCTCGGAAGGCACAGTTAGCTATAGAAGCTGTCAGGAAGGCACAAGCGGATAACGAGCTGTTTTTGGAGGACTGTGCCATTCGGCTGCTGTGCATCTTCGCTTTGGACAGGTGAGTTACTAAAAATGCTGTACATTTCAGATCTCAACATAATCTGGCGTTTGTTTGCCCTCATCCCTAGAGAGGTTGTTGTCCTGTTTTTCCCTATTCATCTCCTCTGCCCACTCTTCCTTATAATGGAGCAACTTTGTACCAGAGCAGTTGGGACGACACCATGGGTGGGTGTCTCATGCGACCCCTTTTATCCTGTGTCCCTCGCGGTGCCTTTAGGTTGGAAGACTTTGTGTCGGACCAGGTGGTGGCACCTGTGCGGGAGGCTTGTGGGCAGGCGCTGGGAGTGGTGCTCAAGTACCTGCCCTCCAGGGCTGTTGCACACACACTTGATGTGCTGCTGCACATGCAGGTATGCATGGGAAAATCCAGTCGCACAGTATTAACACGGTCTAATTTTCTAGTGCTAAAGTTTCCAACTCCACCACTGTCTGTTAGACATGCCATACTGAAGCCACCAGAGTGGGAGGCTCTTCGGGTAGGCGTGCCAGGCGTCAAAGACCTCAAAGTGGTGTAATAGGAAGTTTACTTTGTGAGATGACTTTTCCTTTGCTCCTTCCTTAAACATGTCTCACAAATGGCTTCCTCTAAACCTGTACACTGACTCGTTTGCAGTGGGAGGTGCAACACTGAGCGACCACGTTGAGTGTCTTGCAAGGGTGGAACCTCACAATGCATCTCTTCCCATCCCGCATATGCAGAACCGATCAGAGTGGGAAGTGCGACACGGTGCCCTGCTTGGCATCAAGTACCTTATAGCAGTGCGCCAGGAGCTACTGCCCTCCCTGCTGCCCTCGCTCCTCCCTGCCTGCATCCGCGCACTGCAAGACTCTGATGATGATGTGCGAGCTGTGGCAGCAGAGGCGCTGCTGCCGGCTGCTAAGTCCGTGGGGGAGGGCGTGGACGAAAGTGAATTAAGGCAGCTGATGCGGCTGCTGTGGGGGATATTATCCGGACTTGATGACCTCAGCCCGTCCACTAGCAGGTGAGCGGATGGGTGGTTGAAACTTCCATGTTTGCTTTACGAGGTGAATGAGACCATGTCCACCCGCTCTTTTAGCTTCTGCAACTGCTGGTGCACTGTTGTAGATGTATGGAATACATCTACCAGCACGCGAGCCTCTGGATGTGGAGGCTTTCTAAGGTCATACAAGTTGCTCGCCGTTGTCTGGAAACAGGTTCAAATGCCCACACGCGTGTTCCTTGGCTATTCGTGTATCCCTCCGACAGCGTCATGACCCTCCTTGCTGAGCTGCTTGCCCTTCCTCGAGTTGCAGCCCTCTGGTCCGTTTCTCCACCTGCTGGTGCTTCAGCTGATGCTAAGCCTGCTGTCGGTATGGCTGCTGCTGCTTCTTCTGTTGGACATGGGAAGGACGATGAGGAGTTGGGGGAAGATGATGACCTAGACGACGAGGAAGAGGAGGAGAATACAGTTTTAGATGGGAGTCGGCCAAAGCGCAGCAAAGATGCTGCTGCCGTCGCTGCTGCTGTTGGTGCTGGAAAGGACTCTTTGCCGCCCTTAGTGGTTCTCGTCCGTCGATTATGGCCGTTGATGCGTCACACCATCTCTGCTGTCCGACTTGCTGCTGTTTCCACTCTCGTGAGTCACCCTGCTTGTTACTTACATACTTCCCCCCCTTTCCTAACCCTCCTGAATGCGTTGCTTTCTCTCTTTCCTCTCCTGACACGTCTGTGCCTTCTCCCCTTGGTCCATTGGTATTCCAATTTAACCTCGTATCCCTCTCCTTCCCCCCTTAAATTCTCTTGTGTTGGGTTGAGACAGGAGAGGCTCCTCCAGTCTCATGGCACCTCGTCAGCATCACCCTGGGTGGCCGACGTTTTACAGGACGCTCTTGCATGTATTCTCCGCAATCTGATTCTGGAGACTCACCCCATGGCCCTCGCTGTCTCTCGCCGTGTCTGGCCTCTGCTCTTGCGACAGGTACTGTGTTTTTAACAAGTTCCATATTTTCATTCCTGGACAGGGTTCCAGATGCCTACTTCACCTCAGATTGTTGCTGCTGACGATTGCTTCTAGCTCATATACCATTTTCACAACAGTCAACTCAGTTTACCCTCGTCCCCACCACATCGTTCCTCCCATCGCCTGCTTCAGGTACCCCCCTCCAAGGTTGCATCCCTCACCCGCCCCTTCATTCACCACTGGTGCCAGCTCATCGCCACACCACCTGGTAGCTCCCTTAACACCTCCCTCCTCTTTGCCACATCGGCACCGGCAGCTCAAGGGACAGCTAGCAGAGGCATGGGGGCTGAGGGAAGGGGGAGGGGAAGGGGTAGAGGGGGAAGGGGAAAGGGCAAGGGGAAAGAATCAGAAGGTGCTGGAAGTTCTGCCGCTACTGGGAGTGCGATGGGAAGCGGTGGTAGTGGGGTGGAGGTGGTAGGGGCGGATGGGGAGAGCGCAGCTGTGCGTATGAGAGTGGACACAAGTCAAGCCATGGGGTTGCTTCTCTCCTTCTGGCCTGTTGACCAGCTAGAAGGCGGAGTCGCTCCGTTGGTATCTCTTCTGGGGTCCGTGGCTGCCACACAGAAGCAGGTTGGTGCTTTGATCGTTGCTGCTTGGTTCAGGGAGCTTGAGACACGGGAGGTGGGAGAACTGAAGGAGGATAAATCGGACAAGCAGGGATCGTTGCAAAAGCCGAATCAACAGCAGCAGCATGCGTCTGCCCTTGGCTCTCTCCCAGGTCTCTCTTCGGTACAATCATCCCCCCCTGTTGCAAAACTGCTAACCCATTTGATGGCTCTCCTCTCTTCTCCTGATGCTGGCCAAAGCTACGAAGAGCTCTCACGAACCTACAACAAGCTCCGAGCCGAAGCTAGTGCTTTGATCAGCCATGCCAAAGCTGTAGGGTTAGCACCAGACACGATTAGTTCGGCGCTTACACGAGCCGGCTGTGCTGGCTCGGCAGTTGCTTTAGATAGCAGTAAAGCAGAAGAAGCGAGAGGAACGGAAGGAACGAAAGGAGCAGTTGTGGAAGGACGAGGAGGGGAGGAGACTCAATTTGCCAGACTGAGTCCTGAGGGTGCGCTAGAACTGGCAGGGGCTTTGGCTGGGCTGGCTGGGACAGAGACAGGGGAGGTGGAGAACAGGGATGCACCTGGTGGTGTGGCTGGTGGAGCTGTTGGAGGGAGAGGTGAAGGAGTTGGAAGGGGAAGAGGAAGAGGAAGAGGCAGGGGAAGGGGAGGAAGTGAGGGAGGGAGAGGGGCTGAGAGGCAACAGGAGCCGCAGCAACAGCAAGGCATGGGCGATCTGATGGAAGGCTGCAGGCGGAGATTGCTGTCCACTGCCACTTACCTTAAAACTGTTCAGGTGTGTGCACTGGCACACATGCGCCTGCTTGTGCATATGCATATGCGTCAATGTATTTGGGGGGAGGTGGGTTGTCTATTTCGGAGCTGAGTGCAGGCATTTCGAGGGGTCCTTCTCTACCCTTTCCACCACCTCTTTGCCTACTCTTTCTCTTTCTCCATCCCAGCTTGCATGCACGCAGTGATGATTGCATTCCGTCACTGATGCCCTTCGCCTCTGCCTCCTCTGCTCTTCCCTGTCCCTGTTTCACCTCGTCTTCCCTTCCCCAGGCCAACATGCACACATCCGTCACAGCAACTGTGGCGGCAGCAGCAGTGCGAGTTGCCCCAAGTTTGCCGGCCAAGCTGAACCCCATCATACAACCACTCATGGCTGCACTTAAGCGAGAAAGGGTGAGTGGTAACTCCCGGTGCCTATGTTGAAATTTAAACCACTCAACTCACAGGTCGCTCTGTGCTCACTTCTATTCGTCTCATGCCTAACCCTTTCCCACCCGCTCCACCCTCCCTCCCCCCTATCAGGAGGAGCTTCTGCAGCAGTGTGTAGCGAGCGGCCTCGCAACCGTGATTCTGCGCTCCTTGGACCGCCGTCCTTCCCCCAACGACAGGCTTCTCAAGAATCTATCTACACTCGCCTGCTCCGACCCCTCTCAGTGCCCACCACCCTCTGATGCCAATCGGGAGGCGGATGACCCCTTGGATCCCACCCTCGCTATGCCTGCTGCGGCTGGAGCAGGGGGACCAGCTGCAAAAGGAGCAGCTGGTGTGACTGTAAAAGGGGACGGGGCAGCGGGGTCGCTGGAAGCCATGATTGGCCGCAGAGGAGCCGAGCTGTCTTTTAGAGCCTTGGCAGACAGCCTTGGCCCAGACCTTATTACGAAGCTGCCGAAGCTGTGGGGTCTCCTCACTGAGGTCTGGAAGCCCGGAGAGTCAGAGGGAGGTGGTAGCACAGGGAAGTGCGATGAGGGAGAACTTTTCAAAGCAGATCCACTGGCACTAGTCAACACCTTTCAACTTATCCGGTGCCTAGCCCCTGTCCTCCACACATCTCTAATCCCACAACTGCTCCTCCTCCTTCTCCCTGTTCTCTGTTGCACTCGCCATCCCCATGCTGCCGTCCGTTTCGCCTCAGCCCAATGTCTGGCAGCCCTTGTGTCGCTCCCTTCAGCAGAGCAAACTGTTCTCTCCGCCATTCTCACTCATGTCATTCCCCAGCTCACCAACACACTCTCCGAACCTGCCCGTCGTGGTGCAGCAAGTGTTGTTTCCTCATTAGTCAACACCCAAGGCGAGATGCTAGCACCATACGCTGCACTCCTAGTCGTTCCCCTTCTAGCGCGGATGTCTGACCCTAGTCCGCAGGTGCGGCAGCTGGTCACACAGAGCTTTGCCAGGCTCGTGCCTCTACTGCCGCTGGCTCGAGGGCTGCCCCTACCAGCGTTTTTGGACAAGGAAGGAGCGAGGAAGGCCCGGGAGGATGCAAGGTTCCTGGAGCAGCTACTGGATAATCGCAAGGCGGATGATTACCAGCTGCAAGTGAAGCTGTCGGTGACTCTGAGAAGGTGCGTGCAGGGTAAAGCTCGGCAAATGCGTTTACAAAAACATGGAACCAGTGCAGATGCTTGATCTTTTTTATCAAATTGTTTGTAGAGTTGAATACACGTTCACACCCTATTCTACTCCTCTCTCATGCATTCTCACATCGCATTTTCTTCATCCCCCCCTCCCCCTCTTTCCCCCCCCATATTAAACGCCTCTTGCACTGAGCAGGTACCAGCAGGAGGGTGTGAACTGGTTGGCCTTTCTGCGCCGCTTCCACCTGCATGGGGTGCTGTGCGATGACATGGGACTGGGCAAGACCCTCCAGGCCTCCTCCATGCTCGCCTCAGACACAATCGAACGCCAAGCTGCTGCCCGTGCAGCTGCTAGCGGGGCGACCACTGCTGCTGAGCGTGCTGCGCCGGGTGCTTCTGGATTCGGAGTTGCGCCCACGCCTCAACTCCCGTCTCTCATCGTTTGCCCACCTACGCTTGTCGCTCACTGGGTCTATGAGATCGAGAAGTACATTCCTCCTGGGATCCTCTTCCCACTGCAATACGCAGGCAGTGTTGCCGACCGCCAGAGGATGCGGGGGCAGCTGAGAAAGCACAACCTGGTGGTCACCTCATACGAGGTGTTACGGAGCGACATTGATGAGCTGGCAGCCATCACGTGGCGGTACTGTGTGCTGGACGAGGGGCATCTGATCAAGGGCGCTAAGACGCGGCTGTCGCAGGCGGTGAGGCGGATCAAGGCGGAGCATCGGTTGCTGCTGACAGGCACTCCCATTCAGAACAACGTCCTGGAGCTCTGGGCGCTCTTTGACTTCCTCATGCCAGGATTCCTAGGCACTGAGAAACAGGTACGCCTGCTTGCCTTGTAGGCAGTGGAAAGTGATCCAGCTGAGATTGTGTTACTGCTGAGCTACACAACTGGTTTGATTGGCAATAAACTGTCTTTTACTGTGCTTTTAATCCACCTCTATTTCTGCCCTTTTCCTGTCGCTTTTCCCCGCCCTCCGCAACGCACATGTACATCAGTTCCAGGCGCGGTATGGCAAGCCCCTACAGGCTGCACGAGACCCCAAGTGCACTGCCAAGCAGGCAGAGGCAGGCGCTCTGGCCATGGAGGCCCTTCACCGCCAGGTCAGTCCTGCCCTTGCACTTCTCACTCCGTTCTTAGGAAGAAGGAGGTTGAAGGATGGGGAAATTGAAGCGATAGAGAGTTCAAGCGCATGTGTTGCCATGTGGTTGTAGTCATGTAGGGTCGTGTGCGACCAGCTACTCTTTGTTTGCTCATCATGCCAAGTTCCTCCACAACTCTTTGTTTCCTTTCTTCCTCCATGCCAGGTGATGCCGTTCATTCTGCGCCGCACCAAGGAGCAGGTGCTCTCAGACCTGCCGCCCAAAATCATCACCGACAGATACTGCCAGCTCAGCACGCTCCAGCGACTACTGTATGCTGACTTCTCAAAGTCCCATGTGTCAGAGGAGGTGGTGACAGCAGTAACGGCGGCAGGCGGGGGAGCAGAGGGAGGGGGTGCGGAGCAAGCTTCAACCCATGTGTTCCAAGCGCTGCAGTATTTGAGGAAGCTGTGCAGCCATCCGCTACTGGTGCTCGACCCTTCCCATCCCCGCCATGCAGCTGCTCTCGCAGCAGTAGGGGCCACAGGGACGGCAGCAGAAGCCGGGCAGAGAGGAGGCAGCAGCAGTGGTGCTGGGAGCAGCGGAGGGGATGGCATTGGCGACGTGCATGACATAGTGCACGCACCCAAGTTGATTGCATTGAGAGATATTCTGCTGGAGTGTGGAATAGGAGGAGGAGGAGGGGAGGGTAGGGGTGGAGGGGATGTGGGAGGCGAGGCCAGCGAAGGCAATCACCGTGTGCTTGTGTTCGCCCAGCTTAAGGTGATTCCACTGAGGGTCACTTGTCTGCATCCGTGTATGGTACAACAAATGTTAATGTATCTAGAAGAGCCTTGATCGAGGGTTCATGTTCCCTTACTGATATTTGACCTTGGTCATCTCGAATTCCCGTCCGGGTGTCTGCTTTCCCCCATTCCCCTTACAGTCATTCCTTGATATTGTGGAGGAGGACCTCTTCAAGAAACACATGCCTGGGTAAGCGGTGATTGCCCTTGAGTTGACAACTGTAATTTCTCCATTAAAATCACTTCTCTATCGCCTTCAATTCTGGTATTTACTCAGCCCCCCCTTTTCGTCCCTCTTCTTTCTACTCTCCATGACCACCTGCATTTCTGTTGAAACATGACTTCCAACCCCCCCACCCCCCCCCCCCCTCCCCCCCTCCTTCCCTCCCCCTCCAACCCCTCCTGCCCCTCTTCCCCGCAGTGTGTCCTATTTGCGCATTGACGGCTCGGTGGAGCCGTCGTGTCGTTTTGACATAGTCAAGGCCTTCAACTCCGATCCAACGATTGATGTGCTGCTCCTCACAACCCATGGTAAATGCTGCCTCTGATTTGAATGATTTCGTTATTGCTTCTGGTTGCCTTTGCAATTATTTGTTTGATGCAATAGGTGGTGTATGCTGCTACTTTCTGGAAGCAGCAAAGCATTCTCTTGGAGGTCAAGTCCACCACTAGCATTTAATCTGCTACCATATTCCTCCACTTCTTTCTTCAGTTTTCCCCTAATAGCAGCACGTTGCTTCTGTAGAAATGTGTCTCGTATCAATAGAATGTGTTGCTCAACATCACTCCACCCTCACGAGCTTTTTTTTTTCCACTCACTGTGAAATCCACCATCGCCCCCTTCTCTACTCTGCTCTCGTTCATTTGTTCGTTTCCTCCCCTTACAGTCGGTGGCTTGGGGCTGAACCTAACAGCAGCAGACACAGTGGTGTTCTTGGAGCATGACTGGAACCCCATGCGGGATCTGCAGGTATGCGATGGTAACCGCCTTGCGTGGACAATTCTGATCAGATTAGAATGTGATGCCCTCATCTGTAGGAACCTACAGCAGGCACATTGGTGTACACACTGTGAGGAGCTTATCTCGACCTGTTCGTTCCACATATGGTGGTGAAGATGCCTGCACCCTTGATATGCAACATGTGGCTTGTGTTCACATACATCATTCCTGTAAGGTCGACCATAGTCATAAGATGTCCCCCTCTCTCTCTCCCCCCCCCCCCCCTCGCTTCCTTGGCTCCATCTCCCTCTTCCCCTTTCTCTTTCCTCTTCCCCCAGGCCATGGATCGAGCGCATCGCCTGGGCCAGAGGCGGACGGTGAACGTGCACAGAGTGATAATGGCGGGCACGCTGGAGGAGAAGGTCATGGGGCTGCAGCGCTTCAAGCTCTCCATAGCCAACGCGGTGGTCAATGCTGACAACGCCAGCCTCAAATCGATGGACACATCGCAGCTCTTAGACCTCTTCAACGCTGGCCCCCCTGCTGCTAGTGCCAGTGCTAAGGTAAGTGGCATTGATAGCATTGGTCCGGTGGGTGTCTTTGTGGTGGTGCTTCATGGTCATTGGGTTGGGCACAGTGAGCGGTGTCTGAACGCATTTGGCTTGCTGCACGTTGCTGCTCTTTTGCTGTTTACTGACATGTCAAGACAGTTAGTGTGCTGAATATCATGTTCCCACCTTGCCCTTCCTGTGCTATGTTCTTGGCCCAGCAGAAACCAGCAGACTCATCCTCAGATGCAGCTGTGGCAGCAGCTGGAGGAGGAAAGGGACTGAAGGCTGTGCTTACAGGCTTGGAAGATCTCTGGGATGAGTCGCAGTACGCAGAGGAGTACAACTTGGATAACTTCCTCAAACGAATTTAGGTATGGCGATATATGACTGTTGAGAGTGGCGATTTTTTGGTTCTAGATGTAGTAGAATGGATGTATACTAACGTTGTGATAGTCAGCATGGATTGATGCCTGCCAACATGATTTGGAAGGGTGGAAGCATTGACTAAGCATGGAACAACTATCATGCTACAAGCAGGGCTTACAAATTTGTGTGAGATTCATGGATGTTGAAATGTTAAACAACCTTATTGTTCGCGTGTAGTTTCGTGCTGTTAGTGTAACTTCAGGGTTTTCGGGTTTGTGGGGTGTTTCGTGGCTAACCACCAGCCTAATGTACCGTGAAGCGGACCATTCCGCCAGTCCAATCTTCTCCCCAGGCGTTCCTGCAGACTATTGCGGTCTTCCTACCCCGAGCCCTCCGCCTTTCTCCCTGCGCTACACGCCCTGAAAGCCTTCACCCTGCTCTTTAGTCCCCCCTTTCCCTTCTCACCCTTCTTTTCCCTTCCCCCTTCCACTAATTCCACACTTAGTCTCGGAGCGCCCTCAGGGCTTACGTCAGCATGAAGACGATCCTAGCGTCCGAGACGATGGACATTCCTAAGGACGTGAAGCTGGAGATTAAGGCAAAGAAGGTCCGCGTGACTGGGCCACGTGGCAAGCTGTTTAGGGACTTCCGTCACCTCAACCTCGATTTCCAAATCATCGAGGACGGGACGAAACTCAAGGTCGATGCGTGGTTCGGCACGCGCAAGACGATGGCGTCGATTAGAACGGCCATCAGCCACGTGCAGAATCTGATCAAGGGCGTGACGGTGGGCTTCAAGTACAAGATGCGCCTGGTGTACGCTCACTTCCCCATCAACTCGAGCATCAGCAGCTCCGCCGACAGCATCGAGATCCGAAACTTCCTGGGCGAGAAGAAGGTGAGCCGCGGCCGGGCTTTCAGGCGCGTGAAACGAGAGTTGCAGAGAGCGTTGTGCAATTGGCGGGAAAAGGAGCTAAATGGATTCTGTCGAAACGGCTGAAAAAGAGGGCCCATGTTCCATCGGCAGGCGCTTTCCCCTACGATCACCTTCTCACTTGCATACATGCGGAGTTCCGTCCCTAGTAGCGATACCTCTGTTGCGCTATTGCGCGCTTTTGACGAAAACTCTCTCCGCTATCCAGTGAATTCTCTCGCGCGCGCCTCCGCGGCAATAAATACCCCTTCCTTTTTCTGTGAAGCCGTCTTCGTTCAGCTTGTTTTGGACAGGAAGACCTAGTTCGATCAGTGCGGGTCAGGGAGCTAGTGACGGTGTGTTGCCGCATTGCTAGCCGCGGGTTCTTCTCGGAACAGCCCTCGCAGGCGTCAGTCGCATCGTTTAGAGACCAACCGGGATTTCGATTGTGCCCTTTTCCGCCAGCTCGCCGAGAGAGATCAATCAATACCCTACCCCGTCACCTTAGATAGACGCATGAGTGCCGGGGAGTTCCGATCCTCGTCTGTGGGGCGCCGCGCCGTGCAGCTGATGAACGGTGCGAAGCATTCTGGCTCGTGCACGTGCACTTTAAGCATCGCTTTCCGAACCTCTTTTCTTCTAAACGTTTTAAAAAGCGGCAGGCAGTTGCTGCTCCCTCCTGGTCGGGCGGTGATTGGCGGTGTGGGCGGACGTTACGCTGTAGCTAGCTAGGTGGCAAGGTCAGGTCATATGCGTCGCGTCTCAAGCGGGTATCACACTGCTTGCTTCCGTAAAAGCCGCGGGTCGATGGAGAGTATGACTGCGATCTTCGTAGCAGTGGGGCAGGCAGGGTGCATTGCAACGGCGGCGGACGAAGAAAGACGCAGCTTTAGCAGGCCTAGCTTTAGCGGACGATGATACAATCGATTTTCTGCGTGACGTGCCTGGGGGACGAATGCGGAGCGGAATGGATGTATCGGTGCGACGGTGGCCCTGGATAAGGCGAGAATGATCAGGTTTGGGAGAGGGCAGGCTTAGGAACGCGCAGGTATTTGGGCTGGATTGAGGGGCTGCCAGGCGAGGGAGCAGCAATGTTTGGAAGAGTAGCAGTAGGTGAGGAGTTAGCTCGGGCCAGTGCAGTTTGTAGTGACGCGGCTTGTAGCGAGGAGCTAATAGTGCGTTGAAGGCGGAACAGCGGCGAGGCGATGGTGCAGCTGCGTGCCTCCATCCATCCTCACAGGCTCCGCAGGGCCGCAATCCCGTGATTGCCGCATTACTGTTGATAATCTGTCTCGATCCTGGGCGTTGCCTGGTCTCAGTTGAGGCGCTTTGCGGGATTTGGTGTCATTAGGGCTCGTTAAAACCCTCTGCCCTCGCCTTCCCCCTCCTCCTGTCCGCCTCCTTTTCCCCTCCACCTCCACCTTTCCTGTCACTCAAGTGGAAACGATGCGCGCCAGGTGCTCAAGGCGGCGATGCTGTAGGGAGTGATTTGTCGCCTGCTGTTGGGTACGCGCTTGCTCTACGGCTCTTATGCCGTAACCCCGTACTTGAACTCACCGGCTCCTCTTTCCCCCTTCCGTCGTCCACCCCCCGTTCCCCCCCCTTTCCTCCACTCCTTCCCCGTCCCCCGTCCCCCGTCTCCCCTCCCGCTTCCCCCGGGTGGTTGGCGCAGGTGCGCAAGGTGGCGATGCTGGAGGGCGTGACGATAACGCGGTCGGAGAAGGTGAAGGACGAGCTCATCCTCGAGGGCAACGACATCGAGCTCGTCAGCCGCTCCGCCGCGCTCATCAACCAGGTCAGCCCTCCCCACCCCCGCGCGCATCAACCAGGTCAGCCCTCCCCGCCTCCCCGCGCGCATCAATCATGTCAGCCCTCCTTGCCTCCCTGCGCGCATCAATCAGGTCAGCCCTCCCCACCCCCGCGCGCATCAACCAGGTCAGCCCTCCCTGCCTCCCCGCGCACATCAATCAGGTCAGCCCTCCCTGCCTCCCCGCGCGCATCAGCCAGGTCAGCCCTCCCCTTTTCCGCGCGCATCAACCAGGTCAGCCCTCTCCGCCTCCCCGCCTCCCCGCGCGCATCAACCAGGGGTCAGCCCTCTCCGTCGCTCCCTTTTGTCGCGCGCATCGACTAGGCCAGCCCCGCGTGGCCGCATTGCCCCTGGTTAACTTGCACTACGCCTCGTCGCTCTCGCACCATCTCATGGGGCGTGGCGATAAGGAAAGGCGTGCAGAACGCCTTTGCCCTCTTACGAAATGCGCTTGCAACTCGCTCCTCCTGTCAGCGGTTAGGGTTTCATGCACTGCCATCCACCTCTCACCGCCTCATCCGCCGGGTGCAAGGGAGGGTTCCAGATTGCTAAATCGCCACGACACAGAGCGGACTGTGAGTCGTACCTGGCTGTGAACCATCACCAATCCCATGTGACACAAGCACGCCGCGTCTTGTTTCCAAGTGCGTCAAGCCCTTGTGGTTCCATCGCTCTGCCGATGCTCCCTGTTCTCGAGTCTTGCCATTTGGATCCCCCATTAGTCAGGGCGTGGAAGTAGGGGGTTCTGCCAGGATTCCTGGTTTTTGGTGAGTCTGTACCACTTGATGCCGGCCTTTCTGAGTGGTGCGCACACGAGTGGTGTGCACACGGGCAACCAAGGGCAGCTGAGAGCTCTTGTAGAAAATCGATTCGCAGATTCACTGACCGCTTGCTGCCACTTGCTCTCCTTCCCCCATCAGGTGTGGCATGCGGGAAACAATGACTTTCAATCGGTAGTTCTGAGTCTGAGAGGTCAAATCATTTGAGCTGTTTTGCTGTTGCTGCTGTGCTCGTCCCGGGTGCAGATATGCCATGTGAAGAAGAAGGACATTCGGAAGTTCCTGGACGGCATCTATGTGAGCGAGAAGGGCAACGTTGTGGAGGAGGCCTGAAGTCACCGCTGCCTCTGAAATGGCTCTGCTGTGCCGCATGGCCTGTGCTCTCCCGCATCGGTGCTTGTTTTGTTTCGCCCAATTCCTTGGTGCAATGGAAGCCTTGGTCGCCAATGTTCCAGTGTTCACTGTATGAAAGCCTTTTAAGTATGAAGTGCCAATATACAGGGGTTGGTTGGTGCATTCATGCCACGCTAATTACCTAGAGAACAGGTGATTGACGTTGACACAGATGCAATCATGCACCTGGCCAATGTTCGCCAGCCACATTGGGGGATGGGATGGAGAATAAAAAACTTCAGGTCTCCAGGTTCGACCTTGACGAACCTACCGAATCAAGAAAACACTCAACACGACTGGCAATGACTGTACATTTCCCACAGTTGCAGCAATTGAAAAGGCAAAGAAGGCATCTCTTGAATCTAAGGTAGTGATTGACAGCATTGCTATACCAGAACATGGATGTCTTTCAGCCGGGGATAGATAAGCTTCTCACACCCTATGAAGCTCAGTGGACAGGGTTTCTGTGGCGGGTGACGTGTTATGCTCTTTCTGCTGATCACCATACGATCGTCCGATCAATCCACGCTGGATTGAGCATCGACGAACATTAGCCCATCGAAGTTTGTGCTAGTGGCTGGGGGGTTCTGCGCCTCGTGTAGCGGTTGTACCATCCATGCCATCCCCGCAGCGTGTGGATCAGGGTCGCTCTCATAGTGACACCACCTCTTCCTTTCCTCCGTCCCGCCATTTGTATGCTCTCTTGTCTGTGTCAGATCAAATCACCAACTTTTATTCCTTGGATATTCTCCGTAACTTCGATATTCCATCGTCCTTCGTTATTAACTTCAAGCGACGATCGAGTCAAGCGTCGGAAGCATTTCGTCTAGCCGAGCGCGATGGCGGCTGCTCGCATCGCCGTGCTGACGGCGGTGTTTTCGCGGAAGCTGAGCGCGCAGGTGGACAAGGCGGTGCCGTGCGACGTGCGCGACGCGCTGCTCGTGGACGCGCGCGCCAATGAGCAGCCACCGCCGGACAGCACCGCCGCGTGCTCGTCGCGAGCGATGCACGTCGGCGCCAAAGCCATGCCTCACCCTCGCGTGGTTCTGCCGCGGCCGTCGTCGTCCCTTGCGGCGGTCTGCAAGACGGACGCGCGCGCCATAGTGGCCACGCTGGGAACCCCCGCCGCTGGCGGCATGCGCGAGGCGCACCACGCTTTGCAGGCGAATGGAGCCGCTCACTTACCTCCTCCAAACGGCGTCACGCCTCTCTCGCACGAGCCAAACGGCGCGTCGAGCCGGGTCGCGCAGCGCGAGCGGTGGACGAAGCACAAGAGCCGGCAGACGCCGCGGCAGGCGGCGTGGACGGCGGAGCAGGTGCGCGAGAGGGAGCGGCGGATCGTGGAGGAGGTGGCGCGCGTGCCGGAGGGGCGGAGCGTGGCGGCCGTGCTGGACGCGTGGGCGGGGCGCACGACGCGCGTGGAGATGTCGAGCGTCGTGAAGGAGCTCGGCGCGCAGCGCAAGGCGCGGCGGGCGCTGGAGGTGTTCGAGTGGATGGACGCGCAGCGCGGGCGGATGCGGCCCAACGGGCACACGTACACGCTCATGCTCGGCATCCTCGGCAGGTACGCCCGCGTCGCACCGCTGCCACGTCACAGATCTGCTCAGTACGCCGTGAGCAACCGCGTGGACGCGCGAGGAAAGTGATGGCGGTGGCGCGGTTGGCGGGCGCGGGCCTTCGCGCAGTGGTAGGGCGGCGGTAGACCACGCGGAGCTCTCGCTATCGCTGGCGGTGGAGCTGCGGGCATGAAACCTCCGCGGGGCACACTGCACGCAAGTGAGTTGCGCGGTCTCGTTGAATGCGGGGTTGCTGGTTAAAGGCAGACGCGGGCAGCATCACGCACGCGTCTTGTAAAGGAATGAACCGAAGAGCTGAACGCGCGTAGATCTCGATGCGAGACTGACGCTGCTGAAAGGCAATCGCGGGGCAGTGAAAGTGTGATGCGAACGTGCTTGAAAAGGACTCTTGACGCGTGTACGCGCATGGCGTATCGTCATCACTCGTCTCCTCCCGCCCGCCCACGCACACTTCCCCTTCCCCCTCTCCCGCACTCCCCCCCACCCGCTTTCCCCTTGGGCGCGTGCGGGGCGGCAGGGCGGGCATGGTGGAGGAGGCGGAGGTGCTGTTCGCGCGGTTCCGCGCGGCGGCGTTCCGCGACAAGGTGCACGGCTTCAACGCCATGCTGCACGCCTGGCTCTCGCACGGCCACGCGCAACGCGCCTGGGAGCTCTTCCACCTCATGCAGCAGCAGCAGCAGCAGCAGCAGCAGCAGCAGCAACAAGAATTGGAATCCAAAGGCGCTGCCAGCGCGTCAATCCCCACCGCCGGTCCTGTCGACTCCTCACCCCGCAAGTCCCCCACCCACGTCGCGTCAGATGCGTCCCCCCCTCCCGTCCCTCCCACTTCCCACTCGTCCTCTGCCCCATCCGCCGCCCGCGCCACCCCCGACCACTCGTCGCAGCCGTCGCAAGCGCCTGCTGAGCGCAGCGACGGCCGCGGAGACGGCGACGGCGATGGCGACGGCGACGGCGATGGGGCGGGTGCGGCGAGGTGGGGTCCGCCGCCGGCGCCGGACGCGGTGACGTACAACACGATGCTGAGCGCGGGGCTGGCGGGCGCGGGCACGGCGGGCAGGGGGAGGGCCAAGGGGCGGGGGAGAGGCAAAGGCGCGGGCAGCAGGGGGGGAGGGGCGAGCAGCGGCGGAAGCGGCAGCAGCGCAGGGCGGCAGGCGCTGGCGCTGTACGGCGAGATGAAGGCGCGCGGCGTGCGCCCCACCGCGCGCACGTTCAACATCCTGGTGTCGCTGCTCGGCCACCACGGCCTCGTCGCCCAGGTGAGCCTCGTCGCCCAGGTGAGCCTCGTCGCCCAGGTGAGCCGCGTCGCCCAGGTGAGCCTCGTCGCCCAGGTGAGCCTCGTCGCCCAGGTGAGCCTCGTCGCCCAGGTGAGCCTCGTCGCCCAGGTGACCGCCCCTTGCTCGTCTCACTCACTCGCTTCCCTCCCCGCGCCCTTGCTCTTCGCACCCCTCTCCCCCTTCCCCACGCCCTTCCCTCCACACCCCTCATCCCTCATGCTTGCGTTCCTGCTGGCTCTTCCTTGCCTGCTCACGCTGTTCTATGTGTGGCGCGCTGCGGTGCGGTGTGGTGTGGTGTGGTGTGGTGTGGTGTGGTGTGGTGTGGTGTGGTGTGGTGTGGTGTGGTGCGGTGTGGTGTGGGGCAGGCGGAGGGGGTGGTGGCGGAGATGAGGAGGGAGGGGGTGGAGGCGGATGCGCACACAGTGAGCGCGGTGATGACCATGTACACGCGCGCTGACCGCCCTGACGACGCCATTCGGGTATGCAGGCGCCATGCCATGCCCGCCGCTCACATGCTCACTCCCCTCGCTGCTCACTCACACCCCCCGCGCCCACACCCCACGAGCCATCCGGGTGCGCCCTTGCCTTGCATGCCAACGCGCCCACACCCCACGCGCCCACACCCCACGCGCCCATCCCATGCTCCGCCTGATGCTCGCGGCGCTGCTTGTGCACTGGTGTGTGACAACTGTAGCTTGTGTGGTGGTGAAGGGAGGGGCCAGTGCTGGCAGGGAGGAAGCGCACGGAGCCACTGCTTCTTCACCTGCCACCATGCACCCATGCCCATCGCTCTCAACCGCCTTCACCTCGTCCCTCGCTCACTGTCACTTGGTCTAACCCCTCTACACATGCCCTTCTCCCCCGGCCCCACCACCCCTCCCTACTGCGTGCATGGGGGCAGACGTACGAGAGGGCGGGGGCAGCGGGGGTGCGGGCGTCACGGGCCATGTTCACGGCGCTCATGGCGGCACTCACAGCCGCCGGCCGCCCCGCACACGCCGCCGCCGCCTTTGACGCCATGCTGCAGGCGGGCCTCACTGCTGACGTGGCGGCGTGCGGGGCGCTGCTGAGGGCGCTGGCGGAGGCGGGCGAGGCGGAGCGGGCGGAGGCGGAGCTGCAGGCCATGCCGGCGCGGCACGGCGTGCACCCCAACGCCATCGCCTACTCCGCTGTCGTCATGGCCTACGGCAGGTGCATGCCGTTCCTCATCCATGAGTGACCTCCCTATGGCACCTTGTCATCCCGACCTTTTGCCTACGCTTTAGCAGCCATACCACCCTATCCCAGGTGCTGCCATCGTGCCTCCACTGCCTTGTTCTGCCTCACGCCCTTCCGCCCGTGGCTGAGAGCGCCTCACACGGTAGCCTCACAGGTGAGAGGGGTTGTGCTCAGCAGGTACGGCTGCAGGCTCAAGGCACAGTACCCAGCCACAGGGCGCCTGGCAGCTACCAGTGCACTCATGGGCCTCACTTAACGCTCTTCTGTTTGGCGTGTGTGCATGGCTGGTGTGCGTGCAGGCAGGGCATGTGGGAGGAGGCGGCACGGGTGTTTGAGGGGATGCTGAGTGCAGGGTGTGAGGCGGACCTGCAGGCGTTCAACATTCTCATGGCGGCCTACGGGCTGCAGGGCCTCTCCCTGCCCGCGGCGCAGCTCTTCCGGCGCCTGCAGGCGCACGGGCTGCGCCCCGACGCCGTCACCTACAACACGCTCATCCACGCCCTCTCCAAGGCCGGCCTGCCCGGCGCCGCCCTGCGCGCGCTGGAGCACATGCGGCAGGGCGGGTGCGAGCCGGACCACGTGACGCGGTGCCTGGTGGCGCGCATCCTGCACGAGGCCGGCCGCCACACCGACGCCGAACACATGCTGCGCCCGCCCCCCCCACCCCTTGCTGTGCCCTCGCAGCGGTAGCTCTGCATGCACGCTCAAACGTGTCCTGGCCAATGGCAGTTGTGCCAATGAATGACATGGCGGGCGGAGTAGCACTTATCTGTCCTAGCTGGCAGAACTGGTCGGGTGGGTGCCAAACATTCCCCAACAGTAAAATATGATCCAGATTGTAGTGGAGACCCTTATAAAACTTTCAAAAAAATGCACCCTCTTAAGTTCTAAACTTTCATAAATGCACCATCCCACTCTCTTGCAAGCATGGTAATAGGTCCCGTAATACCCCAAATAAAAGACCCCCTCTCCCATAAAAACCTTGTCATCTTATAGCCAAACAAGCACTGAAATATTGATAGTTTTTATACTGCAAACCACAACAAAGCCCATAACAAGTTCATGAAGGAGGGTTAACAAACATCCAAGCAGAAAAGCGCAGACACAACTACCATCATCTTATCCAGGAACCCATTCTTCTACCTCCTCCCCATCATACGATGTCCCACGCGTCCGCACATGTGCAGGAGGAAACGCAACAGGCGCTCTTCATCAGCGAGCTGGCTCGCAACCCTCCCACGCCCTTGCTGGCTTGGCAATAGGCCCAGACAAGCACAGCCACGTGACCCGGCAGAAGAAAAACGCTCGGAACGAGCGCTTCCAGCCCCAAAACGCGGAAGGATCCGCACATGTGCATGAAATGCAGCGATCTCTCTTTATTCGTGAAAGCGGATGACCGATGATGCTCGCAACCCTCCCACGCCCTTGCTGGCTTGGCAATAGGCCCAAACAAGCGCAGCCACGTGACCCCGCGGAAGAAGAACGCTTGGACCGAGCGCTTCCAGTCCAAAAACGCGGAAGGATCTGCACCAGTGCAAAGAGTGCATCGTGCGCTCTTCATTCGCGAGCGCCGATAACCGATGATGCTCGCAACCCTCCCACGCCCTTGCTGGCTTGGCGATGGGCTCAGACACGTGACCCGGTGGAAGAAAAACGCTCGGAGCGAGCGCTTCCAGCCCAAAAACGCGGAAGGATATGCACATCTGCAGGAAGTGCAGCGCGCGCTCTTCATTCGCGAGCGCCGATGACCGATGATATTAGCAACCCTCCAACGCCCTTGATGGCTGGGCGAAAGACCCAGACAACAACAGCCACGTGACCCGGCGGAAGAAAAACGCTCGTAACGAGCGCTTCCAGCCCAAAAACACGCTAGGATCCGCACATGTGCAGGAAGTGCAGGGGGCGCTCTTCATTCGCGAGCGCCGATGACTGATGATGCTCGCAACCCTCCAACGCCCTTGCAGGCTTGGCAAAAGGCTCAGAAAAGCGCAGCCACGTGACCCGGCGGAAGAAAAACGCTCGGAACGAGCGCTTCCAGCACCAAAACTCGGAAGGATCCGCGCATCTGCAGGAAGTGCGGCGGGCGCTCTTCATTCGCGAGGACCGATGACCAATCATACTAGCAACCCTCCCACGCCCTTGCTGGCTTGGCAATAGGACCAGACAAGCACAGCCACGTGACCCGGCGGAAGAAAAACGCTCGGAACGAGCGCTTCCAGCCCCAAAACGTGGAAGGATCCGCACATGTGCAGGAAGTGCAGGGGGCGCTCCTTGCGCAGCCACGTGACCCGACGGAAGAAAAACGCTCGTAATGAGCACTTCCACTCCCATACCGCGGAAGGATCCGCACATGTGCAGGAAGTGCAGCGGGCGCTCTTCATTCTCAAAAGACAATGACCAATGATGCTAGCAACCCTTCCACGCCCTTGCTGGCTTGGCAAGAGGCCTAGAAAAGCGCAGCCACGTGACTTGGTAGAAGAAAAACGCTCAATGCGAGCGCTTCTAGCCTCAAAACGCGTTAGGATCCGCACATGTGCAGGAAGTGCAGCGGGCGCTCTTCATTCTCAAGGGCCGATGACCAATAATGCTCGCAACCCTTCCACGCCCTTGCTGGCTTGGCAAGAGGCCTAGACAAGCGCAGCCACGTGATCTGGTAGAAGAAAAACGCTCACTGCGAGCGCTTTTAGCCTCAAAACGCGCTAGGATCCACACATGTGGAGGAAGTGCAGCGGGCGCTCTTCATTCTAAAGGGCCGATGACCAATGATGCTAGCAACCCTTCCACGCCCTTGCTGGCTTTGCAAGAGGCCTAGACAAGCGCAGCCACGTGGCCTGGTAGAAGAAAAACGCTCACTGCGAGCGCTTTTAGCCTCAAAACGCGCTAGGATCCACACATGTGGAGGAAGTGCAGCGGGCGCTCTTCATTCTCAAGGGCCGATGACCAATAAGAATAGCAAGTCAGAATCTAGCAGCAGGAATGGATGAACTAGCAGCATGCAGGAGTACAAGTAGTAAACCCTAATTGGGCTGTACCCCATATGGGCTACCCCACTACAGCCTAGACAATATGCAGCATATATGTTTGACACACCCCCATAGGCAAAGTGGGGGAGAACAAGGGGTCAAACGACCAGTCAAGAGAAGCAAAGCAAGCTCAGGGTGGATCTCAACGTCACCACACATTCTGAGCACAAGCAAAGGGCCACAAGGCCAGTCCACATGCAGAGATATATATGCAACAATAACAGTACAGTGATGACTACCTAGCAAGAGCAGGCATGCATGTATATATATAGATCACAATACAAGCAGAGACTACAGCAAGTGTGGAAACGTAGGCACAAGGCCTAACAGGGTACAAAAGCGCTGATGATCACCAGACGGAAGTGCCTTGGTGAATATATCAGCAGTGTTGGCCCGAGTGGCCACGTGACGAAGACGAAGCTGGCCTCGCTGCTGCAACTCTCGAGCCAGGAAGTAACGCAGAGCAATGTGCTTCGTTCTGTGCTCCAGTCTGTGCTCCTCACACAAGGCAATGGCGGCCTTGTTGTCGACGTACAGCACTGGAGGAGAACGAGGCTGCTCTCCCAAGTCAGTCAGCAGGTAGGTGAGCCAGCGTAACTCCTGTGCAGCCATGGCTGTGGCGTAGATCTCAGCCTCACAACTGGAGCTGAGAACTGAAGACGAGCGTGTAGAACGCCACGAAACTGAACCAGAGCCAAGGCTGAAGGTGTAACCCTGTGACGACCGCTGAGTAGCCTGGTCGTCAACCCAAGAAGCGTCTGAGTGCCCAGTGAGGACAACTGGGCTCGTCCCTCCAAGCACTAGCCCCATGCCTGATGTGCTGCACAAGTAGCGCAGTACCCTCTTAGCAGCAGCCATGTGCTCAGGTCGGTGCCGACCAGGAGCCACGTAGCGAGCCAGAAGACCAAGAGGGTACGCGAGGTCAGGTCGAGTGCAAGTCATCAGGTACATGAGGCAGCCGACTAGCTCTGGGTAAGGACCACTCGGCTCTACGGACTCGTCCGAAGGTGGAGCTGAGAGCGTGTGACCTGTAGCCAGAGGAGTGGCCTGTGCTGAAGACCAGGTGAAGCCGAAGCGCTGAAGGACCTGCTGCACCATGTGTGACTGAGTCAAGGTGATGGTGCGGCGTGCTCTGTCCCGGGTGATCTGCAAGCCAAGGTAGCTGCGCAGCTCACCCAGGTCTATGCACGTGTGTCTCTTCTGCAGCTCCGACTTCACGTGGGCGAGAGCCTCAGTGTCAGCAGTGGCAAAAACCAAGTCGTCGACGTACACGAGGATGTAGAACGGCGGTAGTGAAGTTTCGGTGCGCAGAAACAGCGACGGGTCAGCAGTAGAAGGCGCGAACCCAAGAGCCGCAAGCGTAGTCTTCAGTGTGTCGTGCCACTCACGTGGCGCCTGGCGGAGACCGTAGACCGGCCGCCGGAGGCTCCACTGGGTGCCAGGAGGGAACGACCCAGTGAAGCCCGGGGGGCGGCGCAGCCAGATCTCCTCGTGCAGGCTGCCCTCCAAGAAAGCTGCGCTGAAGTCAAGAGAGTGAAGCTCGTAGTCACGGTGAGCAGCAACATGCAGCAGCACCCGAAGAGTGGTCATCTTCGGGGTGGGGGAGAAGGTCTGGAAGAAGTCAACTCCCTCTCGCTGACTGAAGCCTCGAGCCACGTAACGCGCCTTGAAGACAGGCGGAGAACCCGGCGGCCGCTTCACCCTGAAAATCCACATGCCACTGACGATGTTCGCCCCAGGTGGGGGAACCTCGTCAACGTAGGTGCTTGTGGACTTCCAGGAAGCCATCTCTGCGTCCATGGCTGCCTGCCACTGAGAGGAGTAGGGACCCTCTATCGCCTCTGCGTAAGAGCGCGGAGTCGGGATGTCTGGTGCATCCGGGTCTCCCTCAGGGGCAAGTAGCGAGGACACAAGATGAGGTAAAGCAGCAGCAAGACACTGGAACTCCTCCTGCCTGTCCTCAAGGACGTCCGTGCTAAGAGCACACTCACCCCCGACGGACGGAGGACAGACAGACTCAGACTCAGCAACAAGACTAGCGACGTAGTCTAGACGACAGGCAGCAGCAAAGTCAACAAGCTCAGCGACCAAGGCAGACGCAGCAGTAGACTCAAATGACGGGTCAGTGACAACATTTGCTAGGAGACGCGTGACAGTAGGGTGCTCAGTACGAAACCGGTCAGACTCAGGGTCCGGAACGGCAGGCAGAGAGGACGCAGGGGGAGACGGCAGAGGAACAGGCTGCGGAGCAGAGGAAGGACGACGGACAACAAGGTGTGCGCTGGGGACAGCCGGCTGACGCGCACGAGCGACACGACGAACGGTACGACTAGAACGAACAGGCGAGACAGGACACGACGCAGGCTCACGACGCGTAGCAGGACTGCCTGTCTGCTCAGTGTAAGGAGAGGGAGCAGGTAGCGGTGAGCCAGTCTGTAACGGAAGACCAGTAGACGACGGGAGAGTAACAACCTGACGAAGAGCGGAGTCAGGCGGCGGCAGAGACGGCGGAGCGAAGAACAGTCGTGTCGGCACAGCTGCACCAGTACCGGCAGCTCCAGCAGCTCCAGTGCCTCCAGCAGCTCCAGTACCTCCAGCAGCTCCCGTACCTCCAGCAGCTCCAGAAGCTCCAGTCCCAGAGCCGACACCCCCAGTCCCAGGGTCTCC